GTCTTTTAGCACTGTTAGTTTACATACCGCAACACTCTTAAAAGTCATGTTACCTTTTCGAAAAGCTAATTTCTTCATAATTCTAAATTTAGTAAACTATACAAAATCCAGGGTAACGTTAACTTGATAAAGAGTACATACAGTTTACTATGCATTTAGTATAGTTTATTAAGTAGCTTCAGGCTACTTTATGCGAAGACTTTGTCCGTCTGTCTGTCTGTCTGTCCGTCCGTCCGTCCGTCCGTCAGCAGGATTACGGGAGAACGGATCGAGATAATCGAAATCGGTTTTCGACATTATACATAGGGGGAGGATCCTATCAACTTTCGGGGTCAACCGGACCACCCCCTTGGAGTCAGGGGGTGTGGTCGGGGCAAAATGAGATTTTTAGTGCAATTTGATCTATAGATGAAATAGAGTGAAATTAAGTGATATCAAGTTGTGCCACACCCCCTCGTCGCCAGGGGGTGTGGTCGGGGCAAAATGAGATTTTTATAAAAATTGAATCTATAGACGAGATACAGTAAAATTAAGTGCTCCCGACTTGTGCCACACCCTTTCGTCGCCAGGGGATGTGTTCGGGGCAAAATGAGATTTTTACAAAAATTGAATTTATTGATGAAATACAGCGAAATCTAGTGTTCCTGAGATGTCGTGGGAGTGGTTGGGGTGAAGTAGTCTGAAGCTACTTCCGTACGCGCGTTTACGACGGTTTATTTAATTTAGAATTTAGAGTGCATTTGCTTTAACATTAAATATTTTGAAGAGTGGAGAAACATACGTGATAACTAATAGATTTCAGAAACCTTCAGATTCTCAATGCTGAGGCCGCCTTTTAAATTTCTTTTCAAAATCAACAATCCACCAATGCCAATCATTTTTAAAAATACGCAAATCATGCTAAAATATGCAATCATTTGTTTTCTTATTAATATGCTTATAGAAGTAATTGAGTAGAAAAAATTCCTCCATACATACCTACAAATACATGACATACATATAAGCGTATATGCAAACATGTACATCAGAGGTCAACGCCGCCGATCATACGCCGCCGCGCCGCCAGACGCCGTATCGCTTTGACGCTCCGCCGCCGCCGCGAAAATCTGGTCGGCGCGCCGGCAGCAATATTCGGCCGCCGATTAACATTTAAATCTGATAAACTTTTTAACTTAGTGTATTTTTTAAGATGTTTTTAAAACTCTTTTAAAAATGGAACAGTTTTTTTAAATATTATTTTTGTTTATCTAATTTTGAAAATTGATATTTTAAAAATTTTCGTATTGAAATTTACCAGATCACATTTACGATACCATCAAATTCAAGTTGACTACTTGACATTCCAGGCAAGAAATAGGGACAAAGACTTACTACCTAGTTTAAACACCTAAAATATGGATGCATCATAAAATTATGTAAGAAATGTTACAACCACTGCGTGAAATGGAAAATCCGTGATCTGTGACACAGGTCAAAATTTGACCGTCAAATATAACATCTTCAATTTTTCTCTAAAACTTGTCTAAAGTGCATGAAGAAACAGTTAATGAAAAGATACATTCTCCAAGAAATATTGCAAATTTTAGATTATTAGCAATGCTAATTTAGCGTGTTTCAGATCCTTCCTATTTAGCGTATATTCGTTTAGTAATTTGTGTAGGCGCCGCTGAAGACATTTGATCACCGCGCCGCGGCGCACCGCCGCCGCCGACCAATATACATTTTCACGCCGCCGCCGCGTAAACCGTCGGCGTTGACCTCTGATGCAAAATCGTTATTTTAGCTGAACCTTCATGTTTTTTGGCAACTTGAAATGTGATTTGCTAGGGGGCAAATTTACCTTAACCTAGGGACAAACTTTGGTATAAACTTAGGATCCTTAACCTACAATGTGATGACGCCAGAGGTCTCGCTCCGATTTTGACGAAACCACGATAATTATGATAATTATTACGTGATAATTATTACCTTAGACAAATAATTGAACACGTGTTTCAGGATTTTTCATAATGCTCAGCTTAAATGAAATTATGACGGACTCCGTGAGCGACAAATTCCATTTTTACCGTGACGTTTTTTTCGCGAGGGAGAAAAATACAGATTCTCGCATACGAATTCCATGATAATTTCGTTTAAGGTTAAAATGCGTTGGCATGAAGTGGTTTCCTCAAATTTTACCCGACCACTTTTAAATTGCTCACGCACCCAAATAGCTCTAACGGTAATTTTCGTGTTCCTGAATGTTCGTGTTTTCGGTTGTGGAAGAATTTTTTAATACATTTTCACCCATAGCAGGATTTTTTTTAAACTGTCAATTTTGAAATTTTAACGCTATTTCAAAAATCAAGGAACATGTTCACTCTAAATAAAGTTGAGTAAAGCTAGTTGAGTAAAATGAAGTTGTTCAAATTTTGTACAAAATTTAAACTTCATAAGTGCAAAATTTGCACAACAAAGTTGTGTAAAGCAGTTTTTAGCCAACCTTGAGCAAAATTTGACTTTTTTGTTGATTAAATATGAAATTAATCAATGTTGGGTAAGAAATGATCACAAAGTTGATTATTTATTACTTAAGCGGTTGAGTAAAATCTACTCTCCCCACTTGGCGTTTTTATCAGCCACGTCATGCTGCCAGTTGGTTACTCGAGTCACAAAAGAAACATCAGTAAATTTATTCCTCTCTTAAAATTTACTAAAAATGGCCCAGCGATTGGAATTATTCAAATAAAAGTTCAATATACTAAGGGCTAAGTTCAATATACAGCTATGAAAGTTCAAAGGTAAGGTGTTTTGATTTAGTTTTTGCACATTTGCTAATATTCTAATAGTTTTAAATTTATTTATTTATTTGTACTTATTTTTATTACAGACAACGATGTAAAAAATAGTGTTTTTAAAGTTGCTGGACAAGTTCGCTGGATCAACGTTTGCTGAAATAATTTCATCAATTGGTCACATTTAAATTAAGGACCGTAGCTACCGAGGTTAGTAAATTAGTAGTAAGAATTTTGACAGATTATGTCTCAAAATTATAATTTTATGTATTTAGTACTTGCGTAAGTAATATATCCAAATATCTTTAAAATTAATGGTTTTACTAATGCAGGATTTATAAAATGTATAATGAGTAAACTTCTAATAAATAAAGAGTACGTTTTAACCAGCTAAAGATTGTATTTTAATCAGCATAAAAAGTAAACTTTGATCAACCAAAGGAGTAAATTTTAATCATTCATTGATCAATTTTCAACTGCTAGTTGAGTAAAAATTCCACAACTGGTTGAGTAAAAATTCCACAACTTGCTGAGCAAAAATTACTCAACCAGGTTGAGTAAATTTTAACCACCGGTTCTGTCATCCCCTTTTTTACCCAAGGTTGGGTAAAATTTTACACAACCTTGTAGAAATTTTCTACAACTTTGTTTAGGTCATCCCGTTTGTACCGCAATCTGGCCCTTCTCACCAGTTTCCGATTGCGAGAAACCTCCTACGAGATAAGTAAGACATTTTCACTAATCACATGGGGAGCGAACAGCAACTGGTGGGCGAACAACATTTCGATGAATTGGAGGACGACGACGATGTTTACGATTTGGTGCAGGGGCCTGCAGAAATCACTAGGTGTGCAACCCAAAAATCCCAACTTCTGGACTCTATGGTAGGTCTCAAGGTTAAGGAGTTTGGGCTGAAGGTCGCAAGATTAAATCGCAGCAACGTTCAGAGTTCTTGCTCTGCTTGCTTGTTCAGAGTTATGCGGCAGAAATTTGCTAATGTAATCCGTCAACTACATAAACATAGATCGTAATATTCGATAACAATATTTGCAGTGTAGTGCTGGAAACAATATTCCAGAAACGTAGAATTTCACATAACGATATATATATTATACGTAGAAAATGATGTAAATTAAATATGTATATTAAAGCTGTATATGACATGCATACCCAACTATACAACCCCCATGGTATAAAAGTTAGCTTACAAGTTACCGCTTGCTACTTAATTATTCGTGCTGCAACATCAATATATTTTGTTTTATGCGGGTTTTTTATAGGGTAACATACATACGTAAGTCAACAGTCGTAAAAATATGACAAGATGTTAACTGGGACATTAAAAAATGTCCAACCCACCTTCAACAACTTGTTCGAGTTGAAAATCAATTCACAGGCGAAAGTTGAACTTTGACCTACTCTTCTTGTTCTGGGTAGTACAATATTTGCAGTAGTAGATAGGCACAAAAAATAGTAAAGAAAAGGAGACGATAAGATCTTCAGAAGTGGGATCCAGCGGATAACGTTCCTCCATGTCAAGACAATGAATCCTCTTTTGAATTATTATTATACATTAAAATTTGCTTCTGCAGATTCGTACACTATGACATTCCAAGTTCGTTCATACATTTCGAAATGGAGCAAGGCACCAGAAAAATATTAATCTGCTTGTTTATTTTAACCTCGAATCAACGTAAGTAATGGTTACCCAGAAAACATATCTATTCTTCGCACTTAACGTATTTGAGTTCGACAGATTGGTCCTGTTCATCAGAGAAATAATTATTAAGTATAACTTGTGTATCTCTCACCTTCACTGACTTTGTTTCTATTACTACATTTTATAGAAACAGAAATCAAGCAAAGTTTAATCAATTTAAGTATCTAATCTCTATGAATTTAAATCGATAAATTCTCGATACTCGTAATTGGCCAAGGTCAAAATTAGGGAACATTATGCATCCCCTCGTTATTCTATTTTAGGGATGATGCGTAAGGATGGTGCGGCATTTATAATTCCACCGCACCCCCACCCCCATCCACACCCAGAAAAAGAAACTACCCTTGTAACAAATGTACTGAACCTGAGTTTAAACACATGGACTTAACAACACAAAGAAAACACTTCGAGTCTGTTCATCAACGACTAGTATTGTTAGATGTGGCGGTGGCGGATGATAATATGCAGAGATGCAAATACTGAATCATTGGCAGCGATGTGTGGTGTTCGAGTCTCAAGCAACGACTACTTTATTAATGGTTCGGGTTTCGTACAACACCCGACACTACATATCCCAGGAAAAAAAGTGATTTGTTTACAAACAGTTTTTGGTTTAATTGCTACTAACTATTATAACTAACAAGCTATTATACTCTTTTTTAAAGAGTTTGATATTTACCATTAATTTACAACTTACACAAATGATTAAAACTAATAACACTACACATTAACAAATACAACCCTGGTTAGTTTGGGTTCATGAAACAAATAACTGACTCTTCTTGGATTTACTTCAACTCGGAGAAAGTTTCTTTACCCAACTTATCTGGTGCATGGACATAATGTAATCACAATTACTACCCTGTTTATAACTTGGCATACATTTTGGTTGGTACTACTCTCCTCCTCTTATTTACTACATATGTAAATACATATCATGGCCAACCCGTGCTTACGCTAAACTACTGCAGTTTCAGTAAAACTACTGTCAGTAAAACTACTGCACACAACTGGTGCATAATAATATTCCGTTGCTGTTAGGAAGTTATTGACTACGTAAAGTTTAATTAAAAATGGGCAGCGTGCACATAGATTTTGAATTATTGCAACAAGTACTGCATTTATTGCAACATAACGTGCACGTAACGTAACGTTTTTCAACCCACTGTTGCACCAACTGTTACTAATGTGCATCAAATTATAAGTAATTTACAATTACAGAGGGTGTTTACAGATTTTGTGGAAAGAGAATTTTATGGGTAAACTGCGAACCCTTTATCCGTTTTGGCGCCAAATTTCGAACACGCAATCCCCAAGATCACGGTCACACATGTACCAAGTTTCAAATTTCTATCTTCAAAAATGAGCGCAAAAAGTGACCTCAAAGTGGAGGAATCGGTGAAAGGGGTTTCCAAACAACAGACAATTTTTATCTCTTCCATTGAAAAAGCGTTGTTCTAAGCATCCAAACCCAAAAAATTCAATCGGACTGGTGTCAGGTTACTTAATGTGTACCGGAGAAAGATACCGAGGTCATTCCGGGGTTTGCCTTTAAATCTTGGGCGTCCGGTTGGGTAAATACGGTCGTATATGAAAATGTCGCATCGTGATGGATGCAAACCTTGTCAGGCTCCCCAAATTGCTTCTTTGCAATTTTGACCTCCAACAACTTATGTAAAACACTGTCCATAAAGTACTTCAAGTTTATTTTTGCATTAGACCCCTCAGGTATCAATGTTCGCACTCCACAGTCCGTCATTGCACCTGCCACCAGGAATCAGTCAGACAACTTTTCCTTCTTTTCAGACCCATGCTTTGAAATCTGCTTTCGGTCGGTTTTGCAGCAAATTGTTTTTGTCCTGTTGAAGTTTTGAAAGCAGCAGAGTGTCCCGTCCAATGTGACGACAAATTCGGAATTTTTATTCCCAACATGACCTTCAAACAGCCTCCGGCTGTTAGTTTTTTTGTTTACCATATGGGTAAATTTAAGTGCGCGGACTTTCGCATTCCTCTGCAAGGCTTTTTTTAAAATTGTGCTATAAAATACGATTAACATGTCCAGGAGACACCTGGGATTGCATTGTGACCTGTCTTTTGGTTGCAGGATTCTGATTGCCATCATGGCGATCATAGTTCTTCAGGGTGGCAAAATTCATCGTTTTGAGGGGTATGCATTTCGTCGCATACGTTGGTCGGATGAAACTAGTTACTGGCGTTTTCTTACAAAATTGATACAATTATATGTGGGGGACACGATAAGATGGGTTCTAAATGTTTGGATTATCGTTTGGGCACTTCTCGCGGCCAAATTAGCTTCGGAAACCGCTTTTACGGTACGTCCACTTTGAGGTAACTTTTGGGGGCCATCTTTGAAGATGGAAATTTGAAACTTTGGGCAGGTTTGGTCGTGACCTTCGAGTTTGTGTGTGCCAAATTTGGTGCAAATTGGATTACGCGTTCAAAAGTAATACATGTAATTGTTTTTCCACAAAATCTGTAAACATCCTGTAACGCTTAATAACGGCAACTGCGATCACCTCGCTACCAACAATTCAAGTGAAATTCTGGCAGGTACAGAACGCTGTATGCCTTGCAATTTAAATTTTGCTGGGCAAAGAATCGCACAACAAAAACACTTTGAAGAAGTGCATACCAAATACAGACCAAATAGTTGTCACTGGTTTCCAAATTAGTGCTGATTGCGAGGATCAAGTTGTGAACTTAATAAAACAGGAAATCCGAAGTCAACAGTAATTAATACATACTCTAAATGAACTTTTTACATTCAGCTTCAAAGTGAACATCGCAATTTTGTTTAAAGGAACTGGATAAGATAAATACAATTTTGCAAATCAGCTTGCTCATTCATACACACATTTAATTGAAAATGTTTTGGACACAAAATTTCAAAGGTAAGCATTTTCTCTTACTTATCGCTAAATTCAATAAGTACAAAGTACAAGAACTGTAGATGTTGTAAATCTACATAAATGGTCGTGGCAACTGCTTATTGGCATTATTCTTAAATAGTTTTCAACACCACACTCAGTCCAAGCTTCAAAATTTACCAGAAACTTAACAGCTTGCAGACCACTACTTTCCTGGTGTTGCTGCTCCTCGGGGGGTCAGTTCCTGCGTCTTATTGCTACAATATTAATTTCATAATTTACATTCGGTACTAAATTTTTTTAAAAATATTATTACGCAGCTCCGCTTCTTTACGTAACTACAAACGTTACACTACTCTCGGCCTGGGAGAAATCGTGAAATGTGGCGACTGCATGAATAGAAGTAAGCTTAACTTACCACTAATATTTTAACATAATTAACTATGGTCTACATGTTTTACTACATGAAATAATTCCCTATTGATTGATTGATTGATTTATTAATTTAATAAAACCCTTTCGGGCAAAACCTGCCCATAGAGTACATAGATTTCATAATTATAAAGAATGTAATTAAGTTATAGAGCGGGTTTCGTTAGTGCCATAATTAGTTAGTGAAAGCAATATAATATATATTTAATATTAAAAATCTTGTGAAATTATTTAAAATTTCATTAAATTATTTAATTAACAATCCATCTTCAGGCATATTCTTCTTAGCCCCTTTCGGTCAGCATCAGTCCGATTAATGTATTATATAGCTTGTTTTATTTTATTTTACGGTATTGTATATTTTGTGCTTATGCCCTAGCTATGTTCACGTTCTGCTCGTTGGATCTACGTGCTGCTTGAGCCTGCATATTTATCATGAAACACATGGCCAAGTTCAGCGACATTACGGCTAATATCCCTGCCAGCAAATAATAATTATTACTATCAGATTTGTTCTCCTCCTTCGCTGCTTCTAACATGATGGAATTGTTTTTGTCAATTTCCTCCACCATTGCCGTAAGCCCCTTGACCATTTCCTCCAGTTAGTATGCACTAACAACAATATACTGAAGGATACCTTTCTGTGTATCGTCGAAACCCTGCTTATCACTGACTTCTTTTGACTTCCCAAAAGCAGCTCTCACACCAGAGATGAACTCCATGACCCCTGTCCAGGTACTTTTTGCCGTTGCAAACCTCACCAGGGCCCCATTTCCCTCCGTGGTTGTAGTAAAGACGATAGCCAATAGAGCTACGACAAGATATTTACCTACGTTAAGTTCATTTTTGACTCGTATCCTATTTCTGACAGTAACGCTAATTTAAATCCTTACTAAAAACAATTCCCTATTGTAATTTTCTATTTATAGATAACGCGTACGTGGTCTGGGATTCTGATGAACAAAACCTTCCCCGTGCTAGCTGCATAAACACCGACACGATTTTTAGAGTAGGTACAATATTATTTCATATTATTACGCTGCTATGCTGCTTGTTATTTTAATCTCAGTTTACTTTTTCTAATAATTTGTTCTAATTAAATTCCAGAATCCGTGCAGACTTGCCCAAGCCGTCATTGTTCAAGAATGGGACTGCGTTTACCTCCTCCTTGCTAAGAAACAGACGCTGCTGTCGCTCCTTCTTGGCCCAGAACAGGCCTCCCTGGTGCAGTGGCTTATCTGTCCATCTGGGGCAGGTCAGCAGTAATAATTTAATTACATTCGTTTAAACACTTACTCTCTTGGGCATAAACACCACAGCAATTCATACCTATGTATGCACACTAAAATTACAATGATATGATTAGCAATTCCAAATTTCTTCATAAATGTATGTATACTGTTACCTGCTCATCAATAAATTATTTGGCCTTAACTTATCATCATGATATGTCTAAGAAACACATTTACTTGACTATTTTTATTTGCATTACATACCTTGAGACTTCATACTATCTAATACTGAGCTATAAATATTCTGTATTGTAATTGTATTTGCATCATCTTCAAAATTTCATATTATTTATACTATTTAAATACATACATTTACCAAGTTAATTTGCATTAATTACATAACTCATATCTTATTTCCATACTGGTTTACTCCACACTGGCACCAATTTCATTTGAATCGTGACATTGTTTTTTATACAATTCTTCATTAATAATTACAATAACTACTAAATAGAGCAAAAATTTTCTTTTTTTCTTTTTTTTAAACAATACCACTGAATTAAACTATGCATTACTAATGTATTCATGTCGAATTATCATGCAAAACGACACATTTAGCAGCCTCCTCTGCAGACCAGAGTAACTAGAGAGGCAAACTTCTCAACTAAGCCACCGATTCAGCACGACTTAATTTGCCTGCTTAAGTATATTGGATAATATAATATCGTGTGTAAACACTTCCATTATGTATTTAAGAAATATGTCGTGTACCGTTACCATAATATATGCACAATATTAAACAAAGCTTTCTCGAAACTGGCATATGATTCTTCGGTAATAATATTATTTACTCGTAGGGACGGACCAATGCTTTGTGCAATTGTTGCTAATATTTTAGTGGGAGTGGGCATGCAACACAGATAACAACCAATTAGTATTGTTATTATTACGAGTACCACCACTACAATAGTTGTTACTGCCGTTGTCCAAGTTGTTATTGCCGTTGTCCAAGTTGTTATTGGGAGGGCATCAATATGCCACGTCGGGAAAAACGGTGGTGGTGGTGGCTGAAATGACTCCACTGGGATAGATAGGTCCAAATGACTGACTGAATTCTTCCATTTGTTATTCACATCATTGGTTGACACGTTTACTGATTCATTATTTGACATTACCAAATCCTCCAATTTGGTAATTATGCCTGGAATTATGTTGGTTGAACCTGCTGTGCCAATGTTACTTCCGATGCAAAGTAACGATGGAGGCGTCCCTCCACGCAGGCCTGTATTGCTTCATTAAATAAGGATTGTAGCGTTTGCTGGACCACTGAGCTTATTAAAAATGCCAATTCGTCGTGAATTACAAGGGTTTGATTAGCTATTTTCCTCACCGAATTCCGAGTTTAAACACATGGACTTAACAACTCAAAGAAAACACTTCGAGTCTGGTCATCAACGACTAGTAGTGACTATAAAGCAACCACTATTGTGTACTAACTGTGACAAATTCTTTTGTGACGGTAGAAACTTCAATAGACATCAATGTATCCTTCCAAAAAATGAACTCGTGAATCCCCAAGACGCGATACTCATTTTTGTCGATCCCAAACTCTTCATACCAAACTCAGCCGATGAAATTGACATTATTCGCGTATTTGAACGTCATAACTTAACTAAGTGACCAATATAAAATGCAACTACGACAACTTCTGCACACATTTATACTGTTTAATCCTTACTAATACGTCTCAATATTTACAACCCTAAGTGCAATGAACCACAACTATATTAATTCTCAATGAATTAATGTCACTACACTCACGTGCTTCTTACTTCATTTTATCCCTGCAAACTGCAACCTCAGCTCTGATGTTGCAAAATTTGCGACCAACTGCCAACGTCTCTCCTTCGCCTATAAATGCAAGGTACACATTTTCATGAATTTCGTATTGACTGCTACCTCGCCAATGTTTATCACTTCCTCTCATGAATCCCTGAAAATGCGAGGCAGCATTTTTACTCTAATTTTTAGGGAAAAAGTACAACACTCGATATTCCCTTTTTACGTCGCGCTTGCATATAAATACAGCTTGGTACAGCTAGTTCAACATCATTACTTTTACATTCTATCCCCCAACTTCACCAAATCCCACAGTACTCTTAGCTTGACAAATTTTGAAAACCGTGCAACTCTTCACCACCGTGGCCGTACTACTCCTGAGGTGATCTTTCGAAATTAGTCGAAATACGTATTAATAACAACAATAACTTAACATTTTAACTACGGCTCAACTACCACACACTTTTAAATCATTAACATTTTGTTCTGCAGCAGCGATTGCTGCCAGTCGTCCCAAGTGCCATATCCGCACAACTCCCTTGGAATAGAGGGAGTGGGGCTCCAGCATCAAGTGCTTGGAACGCAGTAAATAATTAACAATTATGATCTATTTAAAAAAACTATTACGAAGATTCCGTATACGCTTCCAAGTCTTTTCATATTGCAGATGGTTCCTTTGTGGTGTGGGAAGCCGCGTAGCATTGTCACCCCCGCGCCGCCTGCATGGACGCCGACCTCATCCTCACCGTAAGTCACTACTCAACACCGTACAATTACACTTAAAAATTACCATAATGTTGTCTCTTAGCACGAATACATTACTAATACCTAACAACTTGCCTGCTTTATTCAACAGAATTATTGCAGACTTGCGGAGACAATTATGACCCAGAAATGGGATTGTTTAGACATCTTTTCATCTCAAAACAAACCCTGCTGTAACTGATGATTGGACGAGCGTCACTTATTGAGTGGCTCTTATGCCCACTCGGAGGCGGCTATTAGGTACCACAAACAATTTTTAATCTTACGTAGTCACCAATTCGTAGCTTCACAATATATACTACTTATATTTAATTTTACTTATTGCTGACTCAAAACATTTATTTCTTATCATGATTTAAGCACCACCGCCTACCAATACAACTTACTACCTTATTCCTCATTACATATTATTAATAAAATCCTTCTCTTCCACTGAATTCAAACACCCATCTCTTGCTTCATCATATTATTGCACATACGAATTTCCAGTACTTCAAATTCAGGGCCGCACAATTTCCTTCCATCACTACCACCACTGCTAAATGTTACTGCATACACTTATTGCATAAAATTTACTGCATCAAATTACTTCATAAAAATCTCGGTATAAAGTTATTTCATACATTTACTGAATAACATTACAGGTTATAATTGTATACACACATTCATAATCCTCCTAGGTAACTATTAACTAGGTAAAGATAAACCGTGTGATTCGCGTGAACCTGTAAATTTACAAAATGACGCCTCACATCCTCTCTACTTATTTGGCACTCACTTAACAGCTCAAGCTGGCTAAATTATCACAACTGCACACTACATTTCTCTGATTTAATTATTAATCGCTGTTAACTATTCCTCTATAAATAAAATAAGTGGAACAGCTTCTGCATTGCTCCTTCTTGACTTAATTAATGCCCGGTTATTAATTTAATAGTCATTTGTAAGTATCCATTTGTATCCACAACTAATCTACGTAGAAAATACGCCGTATTAATTATGTTTGATTTCTCTTTCAAAGGTCACCTCCTAATAACTCCTATTACGTAATTCCCATTAGCTACAAAAGTTTAATTACTGCGGCTAAAATTATGTATAAAAATAAGGATAATTACACAATAATTAATTCTCACGATCTCAACATTACTGCATACTTTCAGGATAATTACTCCTCCATCGTGCACAACACCTCACTGAGTAAAAATGCGTAAACAGCATAAATTGTGTAAATTCACAAAAATTACAGTTGACGTGCTCTCTGAATATTAGATCAACTATTAATTAAATTATTCTGCCACAATGACAACTTTCACAACAAGGGGCCAGTAAATAGCTCCTCCTAGCTTAACTAATGCCAGATCCTGGTAATATTCTGCCAAGTTTTTACACCAGACTATTATAAATTAAACACGACTTAACATCAACTGGTGAAGGTAAATATATTGAGGATACGAAGACACACACTACTACAAGCTGCACTTTTGCCGGAACTTCATGAACTCATTCTCACTAATCCGAGTCATCAGACCATAATGAACAGGTAGGAATATATCGAGCAGCCTGTGGGTCCGTACGCCACCGACATAGCTCCTCACGTTCCGATGGCTTCACTCGGATCATCTTGCAAAGATCTGAAACCTTGCTTGCACTCTTACCTACACTCTAAATAAAAATGAGTAAAATTTACCCAAGGTTGGGTAAAAAAGAGGATGACACAACTAGAAGGTAAAATTTGTCCAACGTTGTGCAAAATTTATCCAAAGTTGTGCAAAATTTGTCCAATGTTGGGTAAATTTTACCTTTTAGTTGTGTCATCCTCTTTTTTACCCAACCTTGAGTAAATTTTACTCATTTTTATTTAGAGTGTAATTTTTGCATATGTAGTTTACGCACTATTCGTGCATCCAAAATTACTAAGTGTGGCACTATTGGGCGCTTATCTATGCGAAGCAGGAATGTGGCTAAAGTAGACAAGTCATGAGGTCGTTCTTTTCCATCCGTGAAGACATCCGCTATATCTTCATATTCCTATGAGCAAATCAAAAGGCTTTTCATGTCGCCAGTTACATTGTGCCCAACGACTTTATTGTTAGTAATGCACTTGACCACTAGTTTTTGCACCTACAGTGTTTTTGCACATTTGAAAACTATATCCTTCAACAAGCTCAGACTCTGTCACACCACTCATTTGAGTAGCATAGGAACAAATTAAATTATGGTCCCAGCGAATTAGTGCAAATCAAAATTATTTCATTGTCTTCGTCCACAACTGCCACTACTGTGGCAGAAGCAAAATGTTTATCCTCGTCCTGGAATTCTTGATCCCAATAGCTCTTAACAATATCACTGGCCTCCTCATGTACGCTTAATAATGGCGCTTCCTCCAATGGATTGGACCCCCGATATAAATTTACTTTCTTTACACTTAAGTATACATATTGATTCTTAGGAATATTGTCCTCTCTAAAAACTAAGTAACTCCCTCAAATGCCTCGAATGGCGTGACGAGCTGACCCTTAGGTGCATCTTTCAACAGTTCAATTTGCTCTTCCCACTGCTTCATAATCTTTGTGATAAAGTTCTCTGGCATCTAATGCACCAAGTGGAGAAGAAACGTTTCACGATCCTCCATGCTTGACAACTGCCACTGCTCTTCGAGCGCAGTAATAGTTCCCATGATGTTTAAGTTATTATAAATTCTTAATAATTGTAAGGAGAGGTATTTCTTTCAATGCGATAAGTACTCCAAAGCTTGCTTCATGCAGTGCCTACTGACGTCACTCCGTTTCCATGGCTCATAGCACAACAAAGAGAAAAGCTGTCGTGACTCAGACACTATTAACTCCCACTTAACAACTTTCTCCCAGCGTCACTATTCCGAAATGCATGTGGCAAGAGGACTGGTGCAGACCTACATTTGTGTACCTTGCTAATTCGGCAAATGTCAGAAGTGTTGAAAATTTATATATTTTCCTCACAAAAGGAAAAATATATGTTTAGTGCTTCTTTGCAGTTTTACCTCTCATCCATACGACTTATGCTAAAGAAAATAATTATATGTGCACACTTAAAGTAAATGCTGCCATATTTAACAGACAAATATTTCTTGTTTGTATGGAATCAAAAAATAGTTAAACATTGACATGGGTTGTTAGTTAGTTTCATGGTTGTTAAATATGGCAAAATTGCAATCTTCTTAACATTGACACAGATGGATTCATATATGAGACTCGTATAGACAATCGCATGTGAGGACAACATTATGGAAATCCTTTTGAGCGTTCCATAAAAGACTTTCCCTTTCAGTATTAATTATTGTGAGGTGATCTGTTGTGATATGAGGTGATATAATAAAATATCTGCATAAATTGCAGATCCTGATGGATCCTGCCGGATTGCATCATTCGATTGGATTGGGATACAATACAATTACCTTTGATAAGTTTATTACATTGCATTATGAGTGAATTTGAACAAGTTTGCATATCGTCGTACTAATTCATAAAAGACCTAAGTGCAGTCGGTGGTTAATTCAGAAAAGACCTAAGTGCAGTCGGTGTTTAATTCAGAAACGACCGAAGTGCAGTCGATGCTCAATTCAGAAAAGACCTAAGTGCACAGAAAAAAAGTAAAAAAAGACGTATGTGCAAGTATGTGTTTACTTATGGCTAAATCGCGCGATATATATGAAAAATCATTTTGGCAAGATTTAGCCATAACTAAATAAATACTTGCACATAAGTCTTTTTTACTTTTTTTCTGTGCACTTAGGTCTTTTCTGAATTGAGCATCGACTGCACTTAGGTCTTTTATGAATTAGTACGACGATATGTTCATATCTTAACTAACTACATATATATTTTGCAGTTCGATCGCAGTGGGAAGGAACAAAAACCCGGAGCAGAATAAGCGGAATCCGAAAAATCAGGGGCCCAGTAAGTTTGATGATTTTTGAAGTGATTTTTATATGAATGAATATATGATCCCTATGAATTTAAATCATTATCGGTACTAGTAATTGGCTAAGCTCCTATTATAAACCACCATTATTCCCAAGTACATATGTAGAAGTACAATTTATGCCTCTTACTGCTACATTATCTAAGTTGTGAAAAAATTTATCATGTTTTGTTATGACAGGTTCTTAAGTTATATACTCTAATACACAGAATTGCATATGACAATTTTATACAAGTTACATATGAAATCCGGCACGGATTAAAATTATTGTCGCAAGGGAGCAAAAACTATTAATACATGTGTGATTAAACGATTGTATTATTGTGTAAATACATTTTCGTATACAAATCTACATTCAATCAGTCTCGGGCATTACCACATCCTAACGTTTAACATTTATGACCTTTAGTATTCAGTTTTTAGTATCAACATTATAAAGAAACGTGTCTGGAAAAGGTAGGAAGCCAACCCATTCAATTGGTAAGAAAATATTACATACCAAGCCATTGAATAAATAGATTCATTCAATATTATTAAGAATTTAGGAATTTTTAGTTATTGTTAGAATTCTTCCAGCTACCGGATTCCCCAAACGCGACGTCAACAATCGAGAGATCCAGAAATCCGTCGACCACGGATTTTTTGCATAAACTAAAGGACTTCTGTAGCAACTGTCAAGCCTCCTAAAGTAATAATGGCAAAGGTGAACTATAGCAACTGAAATACGACAAAGAAAGATGCTATACTAGAAGAGACCTACAGATGGAGGGACGAAGCGAATGCTGTAAGTGAAATAAACTTTTAAATATTGGAACATTTAAAAACTTACGAAAATCGAGGTACAATTGTATTTTCGTAGTACATCGAAATGGATGAGTTTAAACAAAATTAGATGAACTATTAAATCATAACAATCAGGAGAAGCTTCTTAAGAATATAGTAGCTAGCCCTTAATCCTGCGGCGGAGAGCTCCAACCCCAATGCCAAAACACCAATCAATCTAATCTTTGAATTGACCTCACGAGTGCCGGTAATACGATGGAAATATCGGAACAAGATATGTACATGCTAAGCATTTAAAACCTAGGTTTATTTCGTGGATCGAGAAGTGTAAATTAAGTCACCATAGGAATCTACTCGAATCAGAAATTATTGCAGTTTTGCAATTAAAATCCTTACGCCCAAAACAAAAATTTGTTAAATCAACACCGCCGCTGTAAATATATGACTTAGCCGCATTGGTTAAAATATTGGATCCGAGTTATGAAATGCTATGACCGAGCGGAAAAATTTCATTACCACTCGGAGTCACAATTGTAACCAAGGTGGTTAAGTCATATATTGACACCGTGTAGCCGTAAAATGCGTTTTATTTCACGACTCGTAAATAATTATATGTAAATAGTTATATGTAAGAAATGCATATGTGTGTAATAGGAAAAATGCATATGCGTCTCTGGAGAAAACAGCTTCTCGGGGTGAAGAAGGTGTTTTGCCCAGAGGCGAATTCCAGGTTCTGGAATTATGCATCCACATCTTCTTCGTAGATAGTCTTTGTTCAGCCCTTACATTGATTGCATCCTAAATAAAGCTAGTTTCCTTTTTCTCGTCTTTCACACAAAACTATAACACCGACGTCAATTTATTCAGCATAAATCAATACGCATCGTGACAATACTGCAACATACTGGTGTTGACTTGACTTTTAATTATAGAGCTTTTTTGCACGCTATGACGCAAATGTACCTTGGATACTCGACAGAAATATTATATCGATGAGGTGGATAAGGTCGAATGATTTGCAAAGGAGAATTCATTTACAGGTTGATGAATCAGTAGGTAGATTCATAAAGAGATACACATAAAGAAAACATTTTAAGAGTTCAAATTTTACATATTGACTATGGTAATTTTAAGATTCAATTCTTCCCACATAATTAAATTACAGATTTGTATTCTATTTTTAAATGCAACATTCAGCAATACTCCAGAATTTCAAACAACGATGTAATAAGTAATTTAAAATTCTTTAATTTTCGCGATGTACATGATTTCAAGAGTAATTCGGTAAATGAAATCCCCCGAACACCCTTGCCTAAACGTAATAATCTTATAGCTCATTTATAGAAAATGGCTTTCTGCATGCACTTCAAAATTCAGCTTAATGGCGGGCATACGGAAGCTGAACTACGTGGCCAGGTTTCAAAAACTTTCAACACAGATAACTGTTGAATCTATCAATATGTAATCCTTTGAATTTGGATGGATTTAATAAATTGTTACTCAAGTTAAAACTGCTTAAGGTAAAATATGTTCGAAATTTTTATATATGTACCAATACATACACACATTATAATATTTACACTATAATTATAAACATTTTCCCCAAATATTTTCGTCATATTGGAGTCTGCCGGCCTGCGGCTGGTTAAGTATCTCACATTTTTTGCATACAACTTTATATTGTTTTCCTTCGCAAAATATTAACGGGGTAGATTAATCCAAGGAAACGAAAATACCTTCAGACAATCATATATATGAATGTACAAATGATAAAAATGGCATATATGTACGAGATCAACTATTCATTTTATAATCTCTTTACCTCGAGATTGGAATGAAACGTACCTACTTAAATAGATTTTAAAATACGGGACAAATTGTAACCTACTAAACATGGATACAGATGGGTTTATTTACGAGGTGTTCACCGAAAACTTGTATATGGAAATACGTTAAGGTATAGAAATATTGGACACTACAAATTATCCTTGGCATAATTTGATTATTTCAACAATCGATGCGAAAGGACCGTGTGTAAATCAGTATGTATGAGAACGTTTGTTAGAATGCTCATATTAATGTATAACTGATGCAGGAAATTAATTAAAAAATGAAATCCATTGTTTCTTTTAAATTTATGTGTATCCATGCACCCATATCCATACCATAAATCTGCGTGAACATAAACTAATTGTACCAACTTCCGGCAGAATTTTACCAGATATATCTAAAAAATCATATTTTTCTACAAACCTGTCCCAGGACAAAAAATGATTGGCCCTGACTTTTAGTACGATTGATATATGTAGCTCTACATTTAAAAAATGAAAATGATGTTAATATCTACGTATGCATTGCGTGCTAAGCGGTTTAAACCTGCCCCGCCAGCATGCACAAATTGACTCAAGAAGTTATTCGTGTATGAATTAACTTCTGTAATTTTGGTCCATAAGTAAATAAATGAGCATAATATTCTATCCTTGCCGAAATTAAGTTAAACTTGATCGGTTCCGAATATGTACGTGTGTGTGCACAGTACCAAGAAAACCTTGTCTATTTGCAAAAGTATGTATCAGTCACGACATAATTTAGGGACCTATTAAAATATTATGCTTAACTTACTATACATATGCTCTAATCATATTAAATTAAAATAGTACTCCAGTAAACTAAATCACTAATGAATTGCTAAAGTTTATGCGAACAAAGACGAAATTTTTTTTCTCACAGTTGTAGCGCTGAATTTCGGCATTATTGGACCTTGAGGTGAAGTTGAAGTCTTCAGGTATCGTCGACGTTGGGTGTGTCCTATTTCGTATTCCAGCGACGTAATTGGTGACCATGAACTGTAAAAAATGGTACCAACGTTGTAAATACAAATGCTAAAAATTATGAGTTCACTTACACAAATGCAAGTTTAATTAAATTAAGTGTCTGAAATATTTTTTACCAATACCATAAATGATCTCCGGTCGATACGGAAATTTTTTCTTCAAGAGATGCATACTAACACTTGTATTTGTAGATACCCAGCAATTATAAAAATGCAGCACTGTAATTGTGATAAACTTGAGTAAATTTAATTAAATCTGGCGAAAGTTGGTTGAAATATACACATGTGCTTTCACCTTCTGCGATCCAATTTAATTCTTCTGTCCGAATTTAAATTAACACAAATTTACAAAATATGTGTCCGAATTTACGAAAAGCAAGACACAGTTCACTTTGTTTAATTTACTCTTCCGGGAGAAATTTGGATTAGAACTTAACGAACCAAATTATTTCTAGAAATTTAAAATATGATAGAAAAAATTACAGATTGAAGATTTTCACATAAGACGTTAGAAAATTTTGAGGAATAATACCTTAAAAATAATGGGTCGAAACCCGGCGTAAATATTTCTACATTTTCTTCAGATAAATCAGTTTGTCCAGATGGCTGACGTCGACGTGGTTGTTGCTATGGCAACGAATATTTAATGACGTCTTGTGCCTTGCTAAATTTGCGATAAATTGATGCAAATGTGTATATGTGAATTTCAATTTATTCCACACCAAAGTGAGCATACATATGGATGTATGTATGGCAGTTATGTGTATTCAGTCAACTTGAGTGTAGACATATGTATGTAAATAGGAGCCGTTCAAATATAATGTATATATTATTATGTTGTGGTGCGTATGTGTAGTTTTTTAATGGAGCATAGAAATTTGTTAACAGCGAAATAATGCATTTTTTTATGATTTTACAGAAAACCTTGTTTAATCATACATTTAACTACATCACATTTGGACGGTCCATCAACCGTTCGACTCATCTTAAATGTCAAGGGTTACCAAGACAAAGTCGTGAAGATCCACATTAAGGAGAAGTTTTGTATGTTGGGTGGATGATTGAAATGGTGGGAATAAGCTATACCGGCGGATTTGTGTATCGACCAAATTTTATGGATAAGCAGTAATTGTACATATGTACATACATACGTGTAAATTGTAATGATGGATATTCAGATTATGAATGATTTTATGCATACCTAATACAATTTACTCATTGGAATCATCATTCATTACTTTAATATCATTACATTGAGACGTGTGCGAGACATGGTGGTGTGAGGTTGCTCTCTCTCCGACTCTCTTACTTGACTACAGAAGTGGGCGTATTTAGTTAATTAATTAATTAATTACGAAAAGAATTACTATTTTGGAATTTTGGAAATGTTATCTTGTCGATCATATACTACTAAATTGTGACATTTGAAATTGTTAAACAACTTTGTTACAAAATATTGGACACGAAACTTTGGTGAGAAATTTATCCCATGAAAAGCTACGTTGAATATTTTTACATGAACCTTTGTAATTGTAATAGAACGTTATTGTTATAATTGTTGCACTGTGACGAAGTATTATTGTACGTTGTATTATGTCAATCTCCCCTGGCCGCCGTTCAACCAAACTGCAGTGAATTTTGGGTGTGGCGGGGATAGGGACGCCTTGCCTTCCGCACCTCGACCTAGAGGGGACGCCCAAAGGGTCATCCGTTGGGAACCATCGGGTTTCTGGGGACGCCCGGTCGCACCCATGGAACCTGACATCCATCATTTTTTTTCGATTGCTGGGGGTGGACCATTATCATGATTACTACATTGGGATTCTGACCTCACCGTGCTTGGAATGTGAAACTTGACACCGTCTGCTCATTGTGCTCGTACGACGAATTACTAACGACCGAACTGCTCTCGTATTGTGTATTAAGCACTGTATGTATTTAGCCTGTATTGGGATGCCAAGTGCTACTTGTGGATAATGCCCACAACTGGATACTTACTTTACTTGGTTATGTATTTTTGCTAAATTTGACTTTTACTGAAATTAAGAAGTATTAAGCATTGTATGTATTTAGCCTGTATTGGGATATGCCGAGTGCGACTTGTGGATAATGCCCACAACTGGATACTTACTTTACTTGATTATGTATTTTTGCAAAACGTGATTTGTACTGATATTATGAGCAACTTCACACCACCACAAAACTTTGCTGAGAATATTAATTGCACTTTTGGTATTTTAATGCACACGTCTCCGGTTACGATGTTAGATATTACGTTGTAATGTTATAGCATATTAAGATCTGTAACTGTATGGAACTTGTCATGTAAACTGTAATGGTAATCTTGCTATGTAACTTGAATAGAATGTTAAAACCTGTGAAATTGGTTAGTTATTTTCCTGAATCGAAATTCGTAATATCTGTTGTTTTTGAAAAATTGGAGTTTGATTTGTAACCCGTTTAACTGTTAAATGATGTAAAATTTTTGGTCGTGCTCTATGGGCCGGTTGGCTTGAAAGAGTGGTGAAATAAAGCAATACAATACAAATACAAATACAATATCATTACACTGTACGTTTATGCATTAGGCACACACATATTTATCTATGTCAATATGTATCACACATGATGTATATATGTACAATGTATACTGCCGGTGTGCACATGCAATACATACGTATGTACACTAAAAGCTATAAAGCGTTGTATGTATGTATGTATGCATGTACGTATGTACATATGCAGAAAATGCAACGTTAAGTTAATTTGTTCAATGGGTTAGTGTATCAAATGTGTATACAAATTGTGAATATATGTATCAAAGGTAACTGTAATATTTAATATATGTATAGCCTGTAGAACTTAGGATTAGTAAAGTATATGGCAATGTTGCGAAAACGTTGCAAATTCTGCAAAGTCGCAAAATTTCAAATCATTCTGACATCATCCAGAGATAATGCTGAATTGATTAAACTTAATTGTCTTCCACTCACCTCAACTGCATGCTTTCATTTGTTAAAAACGTTTAAAGCCTGATGCACAAAATTCTGCATTATTTGAACGAGATAAACACCGTTAATATTTTAGACACCCGACCAACTCATCAGAGGTAAATGGTCACAAATTACATACTGGTCATATGTATGGTGCAATTTTAAGTAATTTCAAATTTTATTGCATGACTATACATTTTTATATACTTTGACACGGTATATTGTTATTAATTTGTAGGTTACACAATTAGTAATTACGAATATGTAATTCGAACCAACAAAAATTCACTGATCCTTACTTCTAAAAATTAAAACTATGTATTGTAAGAATTTTTATATTAAATTGGGAACGTTAGCCACTGCTGAATAATTAATTTGGCAAGATAAACTTACAAAATTTTAAATTATTTCTTTAAACAAATGCAGTGTTACCAAGACGAATCGCGTGGAGATCTTCTCATTGTCGTCTCCCCCAGGGGCTGATGGTATGCCCCCTCCTCACCCTCCTACTTATGCAATCAGACTTAAAACCTGGGAAATTGGTTTATTGTAGTTACGCACGTAATGCAGAGTTCTCCAAAGCCTTTGGAAAGGTCAAAGGTCGTCTCGTGTGTTTTTATACCACCCCCATCAAATTGTTGCGCACCATCCGGCTGTGTAGTTCTGCCGATGAGCCCCACAGTGCAAATAGTGACCATTAACATGAACACAATTAGCATCGCCACGAAACAAGCGCCGATTACGAAATTTATGGGCCGTGCCCAGTTATATGTGAAACCGGGTTTGATATCTACTTCCATTGGCTCCTCTTCCTTAATCGGCGTTGGGTCCCACTTAACCAGGAAGTACAATCTACCTGACAAATTGCAAAACAAGACATCGAAGACATTGTCCCTCTGGTAGTCGTACTTCCTCAGTCGAAATCCATCCTCCCGTCGAAGAACCTCAATCAAAAAAATATGTGCTATACCCTCCGCGCCTTTAGGCATATATCCGTGCAGAAAGAATCGTGAATTATTTAATGGGATGTTGTCCTCAAAAAACTTCTCCAACTCGTCCTCGTCCTTATGATAAAACGATTCCATGACGGGGTTGTTGTAGCCAATTTTCTTCAACTTGTCCACGACTTCTATGTCTTTAATGGGTAGCAACCCTGCGGTGCTTCCAAATCCTGCCTCAACTTGCGACGCTGTCTTGCCTGCGGCTCCGGCGGCGGTAGTGTAAAAGCAGTTTACAATTCCCTGGGTGTCGTTAACCGAAGCGGCCCAGTCGCGAGGGTCCCAAGTGCATGAGAGATTGGGGTCCCTGTATCTCAGGGGGCGTTCTAAGGGGGTCGCGAATCTTTCAAAGATCATGATGCTGTTGATATCTGAAAATTTAAAGATATATGTTTTTCATAAATTTGACAAGTTATGTATTGCCGTTTATAAGATAACAAGTATTGTTAAAGGATAAAATGTGATAATTATGTAAAGACAAAGCTTTTTAAATTTTATATCTAAATTTTTCCTGACGAAGGTCACTGTAAACTGAACATTTGTACAATTGTATCTGTATGTATGTGATAGAAAGCTCGCATTAAACTAATTTCAAGAAAATATCCTCCGATTTCGCCAATACTAAAGATATATATTTTTTTAAATATTATATAACTTATTTGATTTTACTACATACATGAAATATGGTAGTAGTCGAGATTGAAAGAAGAGAAACGTATTGGTTATATAATGACTCATGCAGACCGACTTACTTGCTGGATTTGTGTCGTATGTGTGTAAGAGCTGTGAAGCGAATGTGCCAGAATAATCGGGTAAAAGGTAATATATGCAAATATGTGCCGGTATTTGTGCATAAATACGTATGTATATACATACGTAACATATCCAATTATTATAACGAGATAAACCCTTCCGATAACAATTTCTGGAGAGCTATGCTTATCTGCTGCTGGTCAACGTAGCTTATCAGTTGTGTGTCTCATCCCCCAAACCTGAAATGTTCTCCAGCAGCTTACATTCTGCGTAATTATGATATCATACATACGTTTCCGAAAACAATGTAAGGAACGTTCTAAATAAAAAATGTTAACCCACTAATCAGTAGGTACATGGAACCTTTTTTCAAGCTACACCTTTATTGCCTAACGAGCTATATCAAAAAATTAAGACAAAAATAAGGAGTCACATGACATTTATCTTTCCGTTGAATGGCCCCTTTGAAGAAAAATATACGCGGTTAAGTTCAATTTTTGAGCAAATTTTTTCCTGCTTCTTCCTCCACGGGGCGAAAACCAGGGAGGAGTTCGAACTTTGACCCCCAATATTTTCTTCAAAGTGGCCATTCAACGGACTGATACGTGCCATGTGATTCCTAATTTTTGGCTTGATTTTTTGATATAGCTCGTTAGGCAATCCCGGTGTAGCTTGAAAAAAGGTTCCATTGTAAGTTAAGAGTACGACTTATCAAATGTAGAACCCGACACAGGGTGTGTCACGCGATAGTATATTACATATGTAGAACCAAAGTGTTCTGAAATTTTTTTTAGTTCTGATGTCAGATAATTTGTATAATTTCAAATTGAAAATTTAACAAATCTATTGAGTTGCGTACAAGACTCCCTACTTGGTTGGCACTGCCAACCGGGGGGCCATAGTTAAAATCATGTTTCCAAAAATCAGCCAAAAAATGTCACCTGCTTTTTATGATGAAAATACTACTTTAGAATAACATCTAGCATTTTGATTTGATTTTAAGTAAACACACGAAATTTTTCCATTACTTTTCTATTTGACAAGTTGCTTGCTTGCTCCAAATTCAATCTTAAATGAATGGAGCCCCCACACATGGTTAGTCAAACGGATTTCGCTCTTGCTTTGTAAAATCGAAAAATTTCACGTTTTTACTTTATGAAAATAGTAAACATTATTTTAAATTAATATTTTCGTCATAAAAAGCAGTTGTCATTTTTTGGCCGATTTTTGGAAATATGATTTATCTGCCCCCCTCTTCGCCGTTCTGTTCCAGCCAAGTAGGGAAGCCTGGTTGCGTATTTTACCAATTTTTAACATAGCAGTGAATTGATTCCCAATTTGCTTGCCTAGCAAATAAGTTACCTCTCAATGCTAAAATTATCACTCATCAAAAGTATTATATATGCTCCGCATAAAATGATAAGTATTTATGTATAATGATAAGATAAATAAATCCAACTCAAACCGAGCAGTGCAAATCCAACATAAGGTACATATCTGTACCACCAAGTAAAAATAATTGGCAGTAATTAATTAAATATTTGCAACATGAAATTAATCTTCCTTCTACCCACTCTAATCGTGGGGTGTGTCGCGGTACAAAATTCTATCACGATTTACAACTCGACCGATCAGCAAGGTGAGAGTATCACGTTTACCGAAAAATTGGCGGATTTGTCGCCATGGCGTAGCTTTCTGGATTCGGCACAATCATTCTGTGCGACAGGAGTGTGAGTCAAAGAATGACAAATTTTTTCAACCATATTCGTGCATTTGTCAGTTAAAATTTTATTTCGAAGATCATTACAAGTTTGAATTATTAGCAAAAAAACAATTTTCGCAAGTTGTTAAAAACAATTTGACTCGAAATATCATTTGCAAATTTAAGCCAATATTTAGTCCGTAACTGTTTTTCAAATTATGCGGCGATACCAACATGGAAATTTGAAGTGGCAGTTTAAATTCTCCCAAAGCTTCGTATTTGTATTAAAATATTTTAACAATTATTTTTAAAAAATCGGGCAAATGTGATTTTTTGGAAATATTTGACCAAAAATTTACTGTCGGCAAAAAATTAGATACTAAAAATGATTAAATTTATAAGTAGTTCTTCCTTTGCGTAATTTTTTCATTTTTTTAAAATTTGACATATTTTTAAAAATAATTATTAGTTGGATGCTCTACAACCAGCGGAATTTCGAAGTCAGTCAATTCTGGTTTGAAAACAAGTGTGGAAACTATCTCCGTTTCCATCTCGGAAATTCGATCCGATTTCCCGGCTTATCGGACACCGACGCCGCGTCGACCCTTTCATTCTTCAATGGGACGTTTCTATCGCCATGGAGTGGGCTGGAAAAATTGGTCGTGGCGGATTCCGACTCCGCCGTGGGATTCGCGGCGACCTGGATCATGGTGATGGGATCGTCCAACTGGACGCTGTACTCGGCCGAAAATTTCCAGGGGGAGGAGACCTGCATTTTTGAAAAGGATGGTGGAGCTCGTGGGTGGTACGAGTTGGACACGCGGGGCCGACAAGTTAATTCGGTGCGGCGTGGGTGCAACTAAATTTTTAAGAAGGCATGATTTTTGCAAATAAATTGTTTTATTTTGCAATTTTTGCGAAAATAATAGAGAAATTTGCTATTTTTCTCAAATATTTGTCCCCCCTTGGTTATGCTGCATACTTGATTAATTTTTAAATGCACGTATGTAAATGTCATGTCCTAAATTGTTCACTAATTACTTAAATATGTGATTTTATTACTCAATGCTTAAAATGTAAATATTTTCAAATATTGCAGAAATTTCCATATCATTTATGTATATATAGCAAATTTTCATAAATATTCTAATTTTGACATGAATTTGTTATTAAGCTCAACCATGTTATGCAGACATATTTTAGTAACTTTAAATTTCAAAATTAAGATGATCACAAAAAATTAAACTATGTATGTTGTCAAAATTTTTATGTTTATTTCTTGTATTAAAATAAATAAAAGCTTCAAAAGGCATACAATTTTGTTCAGTTTATTTCTACTTAATTACTCTAAATCAATAATTATATTTACGCCTTGTCATAAAATTCCTTGGCATCTTTGCCCGCTTGTACGGTGTCCTTTGCCATTTTCTTGTAGTCCGCATTTTTGGCCTGGTCAGAGATGAAAAAAGCATTAAAAATTAAACGTGGTATGGAAACTTCTTCCCCAAAAGGCAACGGGACAATCTCCATGATGCATAATTATTTTGCATTTTGAACCCAACTTGTGATTTTAAAAAATGTGAACATTTTTTATTTTTAGCGGTATAAGAATTGCATGGTTATCTATAAGTAGTATTAAGCAAAGAACGAGGTACATGAAAAATACGATGCGTGCATAAAAACAGGGCCAAAATATTGAGACAATTAACGCCATCAATAGTAACTTTTGTAAAATCCATGCATTTTGTAAAATCATTTTGCAAACTTGAACCAAATATTTGGAAATACGCATTTGATCGGAGTAGGTTTACACACGTGCATAAATGCATAAATAAATTTTCCTCAGAAATATTTGCAAAATTTGATAAAAGTTGGAAATTTACAAAATCAACGGATTTTACAATGTTTCTAAAGCCTACAGGAATAACTTCATTCATTCGTATTAGGTTAATTCATGCTTTGTTCAGTGTTTACCTCGTGTACAGCTTTCTTCCCAACATCTTTTACAACGTCCCAGAAACCACGCCCAACTTGATGATGCTCCTCCTCGTCGTCGTCACTTTCGTCGCTTTCGGACACCCCGTTATACTCCGGACCTTCAAACGATGAGTCTTTCGACTCTGCGTAACCTTCGTAATCTGCGATACAACGATGTTAACGTTAATTGAAGCAACTCACGGTAAACAGTGTACTTGGTAAATAGACATTCTAAAATTCGAAAATTCTGTAAACTTACATACAAACTGTTAGAAAATTGTGTAAATATTTCTATGAAAAATTGGGTTACTATATAATTTTTGTAAACTTTCTCAAATCAAGAGCGTGAATTGTCTCATGTTGACAAATATACACATGCGATGCTCACGGGGATATTTGTCATAAAAATAAGCAGACCCATGTTTTTGCTCTGTTTCGAAACTGACCCACTCGCTTGGTGTGGTACGTAAATACACGCTAAGAAACCGGGTAACTAAGTTATTACCAGGCTGAGTATCTATGTGAGTATACTGCATGGTGATTAATTTATTATTGAGTGGTAGAAAATTAGTTACCAGCAGGTAATATTTTCAAATTTCGCGAACGGGGTTAGTACCGGTCTGGTAACAAAATGTCTACCCCTCAATAATAAGTTAATTACCATGCGGTAGAGTCACATAGATACTCCGCCTGGTAATAACTTGTTACCGGGTTTCTTAGAGTGTAAATTACTCCCTTCGTAACCTTCCATGTAAGAGTTTGTAATCTCACAAATCTTTCACACGGGTCAAATTTTAAAACTACAAAACTCTGATTTTTGCCTTATTTTTGCAAACACCCAAAAATCTTCCTAATTTTACAAACTATTGCGTTACTCGTATTTACAACATACTCTTACCATCTTCTAATTCTTCCGTGCTGGCGTCCACTTTTGTTTCAATGAAGCACACGAGTAGGAAAATTATCAAGATTCGCATGCGATTCATATCGTTATCTGAATTTCGATAAGTACTTGACTAATTAGTTTGATTAATGGAATCAGAACACACACCTTCAATGAATGAACACAGGCACATCTGCCCATGCACAATTTCACGTACGTGACCGGTACACGTTTTAATTCACAAAATTGTGACACACTTTCATACCTTAATTGTTAATGGGGGAAAACAATTTATGAAACGGATGTACATACATAAACCACGTGATAAATTTTGGTGATGCAATCTTGGTCGAGTTGAATAGATGTTTTATGTAGCATGATTTATGTACGACAAATCAATCCAAATTAATTATTTGTATAGGCATTGTTCCATACACTGTCATTGTTGTCCTTCCGGGTCACAAATGTGTGTACATTGCACGTCTCGCCAGACAAGTCGCTAAATCGGTTAACTTTGTAATGCGTATACATTCTGTAAGGCTTACGAAAGTTTACGAAAAATTGGAAAGGATATGGGAAATATGAACTTCCAAATTATTTAAATACTTATAAGATAAAAAGATTGTATTGTTCGGGTTTCATGGAAAAATTATTATGAATTATGAATAGGAGCAACTCTTAATTTTCAGTAGAAATCAAAATTAAGCACTGAATTTTCAGGTTTTTGAAATGTTAAAGTTTCTCAGGTTGAATTTTACTTGAATTTCGTCTTTATTCACGGCATAAAATCTCATTCTGTAATAAACACAAGGGGATCAAAATTTTAAATATTTTTCGTAAAATGCTTCCTAATAGCCGGTCATTTCTGAGTAGGTGGCGTCCAACTCGCCAATGATTCCTTTGTATTTTTCTTGTTCATTGGTCAACTCTCCTGCAAATTTATGGTCGTAATTAAATATTTTAACATTTCAAAAATTTTATGAATATCAATTAATTTAAATATTTAATTGAGTTAATAAATCAAAATTTCCAACTCACCTTCCACACGATCCACCTCCTTTTGTAGTCTCTGCACCGTATTTTCCGCAAATTGGGCACGAGCCTCAGACTATTAAAAAATATTAATTAATTTTCTAACAAAAAAACTCTGAATTTTGGAAGCGGCGAATTTATTGAAAACTTGTAATGCTGTTTTAGCATGCAAAATCTTAAACGTATTTTAAACCTTCATGAAATTAGGAGACGCCGTTTAAATTCGAGATGTACAAAATTTTCAACAATATGAAAAGTTAAACCATTTGCCTAACAGACATGTATGTAAAGATTTTAAATTTGTGTACATCGCTTACGAAGTTTAAAGAAGTACAAAAATCCCGATAAATTTTTATTAAGTCGGGAAAAATCTAGTAAATGTGTGTTAATTGACGAATGTATTTAAAGTAACGATTAATTGCTAAATTAATTAGGTCAATTAATTAATGATTAATTAATTAAGTGTATGTCCATACCTCCTTCAACTTGGTGGACAAAACTTTAATCTGTTTCTTATAATCAACTTCTCGCTGGTTGGCCTACAAAATTTATTTTTTTAATTAAAATTTTCTAGCAAAAAGTTATTGGAATAAATTATCCTCAGAAATCGTCGTTAACTTGTGTCTCACCTTTTCTTCAGAAACTTCGAGAGATTTCAAGTTGTTTCCGACAACCTTTAATTCCTCCTCTAACTCGAGGATTTTGCTGGAAAAGTAAGAAGAAATACGTCAATTTAAAAAAAATAAGAAATGTGTACCCCTTTAAGTTTGAAAATATGAAGTCATTTTATAAATTTGCAAATTTGGTATTTTCCCATTGACGACATTCCAGCTTTAATTAAAATATTTGCATCATGAATGGATTTCAATATGCATTTCGCAAATTCGTGCAAAAGATCTTTAATTGTTATCCCACTTATTTTAATTTGGTTGCTTAAAAGCAAAAGTTTTCCAAAAATCCCACAAATTTAGCAAAATCTCAAAAGCAAAATTTGTGAGATTTGCGAAAGTTGATGTGAATACGTCCAATATTTTCATACGTTTCTCCGGATGAGACGCGATCCTCAGCCATTTCGACGTCCTGCTCTACCATGACGAGCTTTTTGGCAACTTCATCGTATTTTCGATCCGCCTCTTCTGCCAGACCGGTCGCCTCCTTCACCTTCGCTTCCAAATCCTTCATCCTCTCGTCATCCGTCACTGCACGATTTTCCAACACTTTTCGCATACTGGCATAAAAAAATTAGAAAAAATGATTAATTTACGGATCCATTGTTCTCTGATTTTTTGTAGTTTAAAATTTTGCAGGTGCAAATTCTTTCAAAATATATGGGTACATTCCAGGTTTTGTTTTTTTTGCATGAAATTTACCCCCTTCAATGTTTAAACTTGTTTTTTAATTGTTCTTGCTTGTAAGATAAATTATATAAAATGTGGTGTTGCAATGTTGACACTTTTTCATTTTGTTAATTATTACAGGAGAATTTTAGAAATTAAAAATTGGACGTGTTCCAGCTCAATTTTTTTGCACTGAGCAAAATCTCATTTTTAATATCGACACGTGCATGCATACTTTTACATGCAAAAATTATCAGGGTTTTATCACGTAATTTGAACCGTTCGAATTATTTATCGAATTATTAAGGCTATTAACGAAGCCATCTGTAACTTTGTATAAATTACACAATATAATCCATGCGGTTAGAAAAAATAATTTACAAACTTTTAAAAAATGAAGGGACACCTTTCATCTGAGAGAGTTTACAAAAATTTGCGAGTTAATTGTCCTCAGAAATAGTTGTCAAATTTTATAAAAGCTTGTAAGTTTACGGTTTTAGAAAGTTACCAAGGACTGCGTGAACTAATTCATTGCTATTTAATAATTGTAAAGTTTTAAAATTTCAGTTCGTCCTTTATCAGAATTTTTGCCTAAAACTTTCTCCTCGATTTTTTAATAACCTCGACCATTCTCACTCACCGTTCGGAATCGTCATGCAACTGGGCCGTGGTTTCCAACGAGAGTTCCGTCTTTTTCAAATTTTCCTCCGTTTTTTCGAAAGTTTCCTCAATTCCTTGCACCTTCCTGCCGAGCGAGGCCATCTCCGTTTCCGCGGCTTGCAACGTCTTCTCCTTGGTTTCCAACGTGGTCGTGACCGTTTCCAGGGTTTGTTTCGCTTGGGAAAATTCCTGCTCGACTTGCAGAATTCGCTTCTTCAGAGAATCGACTTCATCCTGCGCGCGGTCCGCGCGCACGTTGGCGTCCCGCGCGGTCTGCTCCATCGCGTCGGCGCGATCCATGGCGTGATCCTTCTCCTGCTTAATAGCCTGCATTTTCTTCTTGATGGCGTCCATTTTTGCGGTTTGGGTTGTTTTTTAGAAGACTGAATATGGAGAGATTTTGAAATTTAGGAAAATTTGAGAAATTTTGAAAACTTATTTTGAAAACTTACCAGGGAAAAATACGGGAGAAAAGAAGCAAGGGTTTTGGAGTGGACGGGACGAGATGACTGCGAGATGATGAAGTCGAATTCTAATAATATTGTTCTGCTCGGAATACTTTCCTTTGGCCGGGTGTGCAACCAGGGTGGTGGAAATTAGGGCAGGTTTACTGAATATGATAATATGTGGGTGGGCTTGTCACAACGTGTGAGATGATTGTGCGAAGTTTTGGATTTTACAGAGTGGTAAAAATGGGAGAAAGTGGGATAAATGGGACAAATTTGACAATATTTTTTTCGTTCGGTTTAGTAGAGGCTCATATTTAAAATGTTATTATCTCGGGAGTAGTTCATTTTTGGGCAATATTAATTTAACCATTGTACCAATTACCAATTGTTGATAAAAGTTATTTATTCTATCACTTTTTATTTTTTGGTCAATCTTATTCTTACCAATCATTTACCGGAATTTATATTTATGTATAATAGGTGTCTATTTATTTTTATGCTTTACAAAATTACACAAATTCATAAAGTACCGTGCAAACTCAAATTGTGCATATTTTCAATATCCCAACATATTTGGAACCCTGTTTAAAAATTTTGCATGGTTTGACGCATCGCAGTCACACAAAGTTATTTATGTAATGGCTCCTCCGCTTTAAGTAACAAAAGCATGGAAAAGACAATTCTCATCTTTTTATGTCTCAAACCCACTTTTACACCTTGTCCCTCACCAACGGAATAATCAATCTTGTCCTCATTTCCGACCGAGAACGAAAATTAGGGGCTGCACCTACATTACGTATTCTAATTTTCTAATAATTATGTACTTACACTTTTAGAAATCCAGTATTAAATTAATACCAAACGTCAAATTTTCTGAAGCGCAAAAATTTGGAGTTTTTGTGTAAAATTTTGAAACAGCTAAATCAATAACATCATCTTAACTTACACTCTTAGAAATCCAGTATTAAAGTAATACAAAGCGGTTGGTCTTGACAAGTAATACGGTGTAGTAATAGCTCGGAATTAAAGTTTCACCATATCCGTACCAAATTTTTACAGATCCGCATAATTGTTTATACCAATCGGTAGCAAATGTACTACCGAGAAATTGGTACCTGGCTGATTACATATGTCAGATTTATATGTAACACTATTTATAGACATAAAACCTGTTCCTAAAAAGTTGAGATAAAAAATTAATCATTAGTTAAGAAACCGTCTGGAACAAAAAACTACACATTTTTCATGCACGACCCCCTTCCCAAAAACAGGCAAAAGCTATTAGCTCCCGTCTCCCCATCAATCATCCTTTTTGTCCCGAACAGAAGTGAGCCAACGACAAGAATTTGGCAGTCGATCGGATACCTCATTACTCACACACTTGTCCATACTGTGCAACTCTGTTGTTTTATTTTTATGTTCCACTTAAACTACTCCACTTGCAAATTGTGTCCGTATTTTTGCACGGAATGAGTATTTATTTAAGAATGCATGTACATAAATATGTAGCGAAATGAATCTTCTCTCCAAAATATTCATTTACTTTTATGTGTACATATTTATGTTCACACTCTTAAAAATAGTGTTACCATTGGCAAAAGTAAATGCATTCTCGATTTAATATTAAGGGTCCGGTCCATTGCATATTGCATACGGGTTCTGAATTTAAATTTGTGTGTCTCATTCTTACATTAAACCTGTTCATCGCTGTGGACCTTTTAAAAAATGACGATTTTATTGCATAAGAAAATCGATAATTTTAAGTAAGTTTGAAAAGATAGAAGCCAGGAGGTCATAATTTTTTTTATGAGAAAATATTTAATTAAGATAGATATATACAATGAAATAGTGTTTTTTTCGCGCTCTAACGATTTTCAAGTTAGATACCTTAAAAGTTGCGTAAAATTGAGTAGATCAAAAATCCGTAATAAAATTGGGGGGGCCCATTGGTGGATTTTGAGATCTGAGATAATATGTGCGAATTTTTTGCAAATTTTGAGTTTTATGTCAAAATCGTTCAAACGTGGTCAAATATCACCGGAAATAATTTTAAAAATTATTTTGCACTAGAATTTGGCCGCTGCCTCGATTTCGGACCCCAAGTCTCTTATATGTTGAACTTTGCAAAATAATTGCATTTTCCGTATTATTAAGATAGTTAAGATAGATATATACAATGAGATCGTGTTTTTTCGCACTCGAACGATTTTCAAGTTTAATAGCTTAAAATTTTCGTAATTTTGTGTACATGAAGAATCTGTAATAATATTGGGGGCGTAGATTGGTGGTTTTCGAGATCTGAGCCAAAATGTGTGAATTATTTGCTAATTTTGGATTTTGACTCAAACTCGTCCAACTTTTGGTCAAAAATGACGGGAAATAATTTTAAAAATTATTTTATACTAGAATTTGGCCGCTGCCTTGATTTTGGACCCCAATTTTCCAATATGTTGAACTTTGCAAAATAATTGCATTTTACATATTAGTATGACACGATCGAATTATGGAATTTTGGTTAGCATTTTAAGCTACACTAAAATGGGGCAAGATATGTACTGCGCAGGTGGAGCTTAGAGTGAAAAAGCAGTGGTGCGCCCCAGTTCTCCCTGTTTTGCGAGTCCCAACATTGCTTTTTCACGAGCTAATCTTCACCCGTACAGTACATATCTTGCTAAATTTTAGTATAATCCATAGGTCCATAGACCTATGGACAATGACAGAGCGGAATCGCTAGATAGATTCCGAATTTTTAACCAATTGGGAATGTTGTTGGTAATTCGAAGTTATGTAAATATGAAACTCTTCGACTGTAATTCGTTTGTAATTATATTGCCTTAAATTTGGGGACCGCATTTGCGACACATTTTGCAACAAAGCTTGAACGATATCGAAATTAGAATATGAGTAAGGAGTTTATGTTCAATATTACAACGGATTTCTGATATGACCTGTTGCCAATTCGGAATTTTGGAATTAATGCAAGGTTTTGTTAGCTACTCGGAATTTTGTTAATGCTGCGGCGACTTGTTTAATTAACAAGCGACAATAACCTGCTGTACAATTCAACCTTAAGTTTTCCCAAATTACATATAATTTCATGAAACTAAAACTTTAATTTAGAACATGTGGTGCAAATTGAGGTTCGAGCGAAATAAATAGTTTGCAAATCGTGGGAGACATATTTTACTATGTAAAAAAATTTACTAGAAAAATTCGGTGCTTCCCTTCCAAACTAAAAAAACATCATTATCTGAAAAATGTACATAATTTTAAATTTTATGTGCATACATATTTACACAAAAATCCATGATTAAAAAAATTAGTACAAATTAAACCAAATGCACAATTTCAAAAATTTGTATAAATTAATACCATTTTCATATTTTCAAAAATTAATACACAGTAAAATAATTTGCATGGTTATAAAAATTAAAAACTTCGAATAATTTCAAAACATTTTACAAATCAAAACAAGTTGGGGGAATGTGTGGCTATTATAAGAATTTAAATTGAGTGGAAAATCGAAAGTTGTTTCGTGACCTTTTAATGAATTTTGAAAAAAATAAGCAGTTACAAACGTATATAACCAGGGGGTGAATCCTCCGTATCGTGGAGTTTCACGCTTTCAAAGGTATCAGTGTCGAAACGGGTTTGTAGACAAATCAATGAATTTGACAGCATCTACATCAATTGTTCTATGGTCTTTCCTATTAATCTCAATAGAATTTATGCACTTAATGTTCTTCAAAACATGTCCTCTTCCCTTAATTAAGGCATTTCGTACAATACCATTTTCAAGTGTACATGATTCGCTGAAATCTGTCACATAAATGCATATGTGGATATATGATTGCAAAAAAGCCACATTGTTATCATGCGTTGAATAAGTGCAAAATACACGATCTTCAGTACTTTTAAGAGGGATAGGGCAACATTTGAACGATTGTAAAACATTATTTTTACCAAATAAAGCAATTCCGAATTTACCCTCATAGATGTGTAAGGTACGAACGTTACTCAATTGATTCCCTTCTCCCACAATATTCACATGGTTACAAATTACGTTACTGATACTGTTATTACTACCATATATGTGTAAAGACTCCAAGCTCAAATCTTTAATTGTACAGAAGTTTCCTGTAATGTTCATTATAATCTGTTGATGGATGGAAGGATTAGCCCCATTAAAAGTAATATTATCCGCTTTAAACTCGTAAGATTTGTTTGTGGCATCTTTAATATTAATATTCACAGTATCGCCTGGTTCAAGGGTGAAAGAACGCTATTGCGCATGTGATTATATAGAATCCTTTTAAATCTGAGTTTACTGTATACAGTAAACTCAGATTTAAAAGGGTCGATCAGCAATATTTCGTGATGTCCCGTCAATCTATATTCGACGTGTCTTTGCGTAAGACACAAAATCAAGACTCCCCAGTACCGAAGCCACCAGTCCTTCTGTTCAACCAGGCTTATTTCATCATCATTAACTAACTTGTCGAACATTGAAATCGTATCTTTCTGCTTAATTATCTGGAAAACTTCCCATGACACCAATCCAAAGGAATACAAATCCGCGGGAATTCCATATTTCGATGATTTCGTTTCTGGGGCCTGATACGTGGCATTCCCTACACCAGCGGTCAGGGTTTTAGTTTTAGTGTGCCCCCCATGGATCTGCCGACACAATCCAAAATCACCCACTTTTACTGGAAATGCGAACTCTTCCCCCGATGTTGAGAATGAAAACATAATATTTTCTGGGCGAAAGTCCCGATGCATGATGTTATTGCTGTGAAGATACTTTAGCCCTTCGTACATGTCTTTAACTATACGCCGGCGAACTGGGTGTAAGTCAGGGTTGTCCATCTCATTATTTCTGTTCAACCAGGCACGCAACGTGTTACCGCATAACTCCATTTGGAGACAGATGGTGGGAATTCGTGTTCTTTTTTGTGCTCGAAAAGATAAAGCATAAAGTTGTTCCAGTACGTCATCATTGTTCTGAAGACATTGAATATTTTGAAGGACCTTGACGTCTTCTTTAGTAAATGGTGTGTCGGTTGCTTTTAGTATTGCGACCAAATTGTCGTGTTTCTTTCCCCTCATTAGTTTGTATTCTCGGGAGACGCGATGTTTCTCGTCTTGGTCGTCCGGCTGGTTTCTAAGCTCGTCGATAAATATGACTTTCACTGCGGAAAGATTGACCTGTCCGCTGACCTAAAATATTATGCGATTAAATTATTTTTTAAGTACGAATTTTCAACTTCATAATTGTAATTATCCAATAATCGTGCCAAATGCTGGGTTGGGAGATCGAGAGAGAAGTCACGTGTAAAATACGTTTCTGGCTTAGGATTTACAAAAAATTAGGCAAAACTTACCGCCTTGAAGACATAACCGAACGATCCAGATCCAAGAAAAGATTCCAACGCGAGATAGTCAAACCAGGATGTAAGCGATTCTGTAGAAACACATTCTTCACCAACTTCCATAGCCTCCATTTTGTTTTATAGAAATATTAGTTCAATACTCTTTTACGTGCAATATGCGTAAACGAGAGTAGTTGAAGAATGAATAAAATTATTACAGGGTGTTAATAAAGTCCGATCCCATTTTTCCTGTAAAAAAGTGAAGGCTAGTATAAAAAAAACTACCCGTGATACTTACAAAAAATGTTCGACATATTTACCTTAGTATTTGGTCTTGTTACCATTTACTTTAACCATGCCCTCAACTCTTTGTTTAAGGCTCTGTGCTAATTTTTCCAATGTGCCTCTGGAAATCGAATTCCATACATCTTGAACTTTTTTTTACTAGCTCTTCCCTCGTCCGGGGTTGTGGCTCTTTGTATACATTTTCCTTAAGTATGGACCACTGGTTCTTCAGGGGATTCAAATCTGGGCCGTTAGCGGCCCACACCCCCTTGCTCCAGACCGTTGAAACTTGCGTCTTGATGAGACTCAAACTCGCTTTTGCTGTATGGGCTATAGCACCATCCTGCATGAAAACTATTTTTCTTTCATTCGGAAATATTTCCTTGTTCCCCATGCTATCGAAATAGATAGGTAATATTTTTTCCATATAATGCTTTGCATTAACTGATTGGCCTTTTGGTATGATATGTAGAGGGGTCACGCAACGTGCACAAAATCCACCCGCTACCATAACTTTAAGCCCGAATTTTGGGATCGCTCTTGATGGTACATCCGATTTGTTTTCTGTCCTGTAACGAACATTTTGTTGGTTCAATTTTGGATATAGTTCAATAATAGATTCGTCAGTCCAAAGGATGTGACTGCGCAATTCTTCACCAAGTCTTTTTTCACTCAAATGGGCACTTTTCTGAAGGAGTTCTTCAAATTTCAGACGGTCATCGATATATTTTTGTGACATGAGAGGTTTTTTTGGTTAGTTTGTAAGCTGTGTGACCCCACTTCGTAGTTTTCACAAATTTTTGCACGGTCACACAGTTAATTTGCTTCTTCTTCTCTTTATAGCGTTTTGAGTCATTTAACTCCCTTGCTCAATTACGTAATGAACTACCGGTTTTCTTGCAAAGTCTGTTTTTAATCATTCTTTTTGTGGTAGGTGACACCTTTCTGGGTCGCCCTGGTCGCTTTTTGTCGTGGACAAAATTTTTATTCTTCCATTTCCAAACAGTTCTGCGGCTGCAGCCCAATTTTTGCACAATTTCTGTAGGTTTAAGCCCCTGCTGATGCAATGTTTGTATCTCAACTCTAAGATGCTCATGACTTACACGTTTAGTTGTTCCTCCCATGGTAAAAATTTGAAATAAATAACTTCACTGGTTCAAAAGTTCCAGCTGAATTTGTAACAACCACGCTCCAAAAAATGCATGGGATCGGACTTTATTAACACCCTTTATAAACTGCGCATTAGATCGCTAACATTTAGCGATGTGGAAGATAACACAACCACGCAGACATGAAAAAGTTGCCTGATACGCTCCGGTATGCCAGATAAGCGTGAAAACCTATTTACTTTGGCACTGGAGCCAACTTAACAATATATTATACATACTATGTGAACTACCAGGAAGCCTGCATATGCCTCAACGTTAGTGGAAATTGTCGGTTTATCAATGCAAATAATGTTAGGCTGTGCTAATAAAGCTTATTTAACACCTCAACTTTGCCCAGTCACAAAATCGCAGATGATGATTTGCATTATCAAACGATATGACTGTGTGCGGTATTGTTTACTAACTCGTTGGAATTGTTTTGATAACGAGCAAAAATAAATCAATGAATGTACATATGTAAGCACCATACCTGCATTTAATTACTAGTGTTCCCGAACATGGGTTTAAGTTTATAACTTAAAAAAATCCTATTTGAAATTTTTGAAAAATTTTTGGTAGAAAAGAGTTTATTATTCTCAATAGAAACATTTCCACTCTTCTTGTAATGGATGTTTAATGTTAAATATCCACCTGCATAGGGGGCTTCAATATGTTGAACAATTATTTATTTTGGCAGAAATGTTTGTTTTACATTTTGTCGTGAAAAAATAAATTGAAAGGCTTTATTTACTTGTTTTTTGCCCAGTTAATAATTTCATCCGTACATATTTATTTTACACCCCACAATAAGTTTCTTTTGATAGTGGTATCGCATTCTTTAGTGCCTCCAGCTCCTCCATAAAATTTAGAATTATCTCTTTTGCCTGATCCTTCCCATAGAGGACGTTTTCATCACCGAGCACCCCAATTCTCAAGTTACCTCCAGCAGTGATAAAAGTAATTGCGAGACCTGGAGATCATTTTTAGAAAACGTATTGCAATTTAAGATGAAACAAATTGTTTAAAAGATTACGGTTCTCTTGAATCCCCGGTTTTAAATGTAAATTTGTATGTCTCAACTTTCTCTTCTTAATTTTGCCACCTGTTAATCCTACTGGATTTGTTTTACAAAATGAAGATTTTGGTTAATCCAAGTTACTATAATTTTCAGGGTGCAAAGTTTGGATGTTAGAATTTTAATTTTTTTTCTTCCATAAGAAAATTTTTAATTTTTACTGATTATTTCTCTCTATTTTCCCATGTAACAAAAAAATAAAATTCTAACCCCATAATTTGGTAAATCTAAAATTATCGTTTTTTTAGATACAATAAGATTGTCATATTCTTCAAAATGCATAAATGAACATGGGAAAACTTGAGACACAAAAATCCAAGTTCAAAACCCTCACACAAGGGAACCTTAATATGTATATACATATTTGGTTAACCTGCATTCCCCGCATACGATCCCACCGTCATCTCGATATGCTTGATATTATACCCGCAAAAATTATCAACTTCTCCCGGCGCGGGTATATTGTAGACGAAAATTTTTTCATCTTGGTGTCTCCCCTGGAAAAACTTCCTTATCCCGGGGCGCGGCAGGCTACCCAGGGCGCGCACGAACACAGCCAACGCTACCGGGCAGGCCGATCTTTTCATGGCGAGGAGACCTTCGTGCGTCTCAAGGAGACGTTTTACTACATTAAGTTCCCCCATGTGGGCCGAGTACCATCCAAACGTGCTGAAATTAATTAACGTAAAGTTTTTGTAGCAAACAAACCCTACTTTAAACGCAGATTGTGTTTACATAGCTTAAACTTCCCGTTGGACATGTTTCCAAATGGGGACAAGGTAACTTTTTGGCGACGTCGGGATGGGTCGTACTGACATACAATGAAACCTTTTTTCAAGCTACACGGGGATTGTGTACCGAGCTATGTCAAAAAAAATCAAGCCAAAAATTCGGAATCACGTGGCGCTCAGCATTCCATTGAATGGCCCTTTTGAAGAAAAATATTTCGGGGCAAAGTCACGTGCCCACCTTGTATTTCGTTCCGTGGAGGAAAAAGGGAGAGAAAAATAACTCAAAAATTGAACTTTGCCTATAATATTTTTCTTCATACGGAAAGATAAGCCCCACGAAATTCCTAATTTTTGGCTCTATTTTTTGATTCAACTCGGTATTTAATCCGTGTATAGTTTGAAAACAGGTTCCATTTTATAATCATCAGCCCTCCATAAAGTTCGAGTTACCTACACATTATTTCCAAGGAGACGTCGTCCCTTCCCCAACACGGAGAGCTGTGGGGTCTGCACCGTTACGCGGGAAATGGATTTTGCCTCATTAGGAAAATACGACTTTCTCACAGCCCCCAACATGGCCGAGTGCAACACCGCAGTTCCCGACATCCCGTGGGCCCCTCCCACCTGACGAATTATGCTGAATGGGATCGATTCACTGGAATGGAAACGGAGTCGGGCAGCTACGGTAGAATAGTGTGCGTTGAAGTCGCACTGGGTCCAACCCTGGTAAAAAAATTACTAACCTTTTGATTAATTGAAGTCTTAAACAATTCGTAGTGAATCATTAGTGGCCGACAGGGTATGCTACCCCGGGTTTTTGGGGTATTGGGGCATTGCGAGTTTTGGTGGGTTTTGGGGTAGCAAATTTGAGCAATACCCACGAGTAGTCGGGGTAGTCGGGGTTTTCGAATTTTACAAAATATGATAACAGGGCATTACTAGCAATTCTATTAATCAATTACTTATTCAAATATAATTAATAAGCAGTTTTGTTGTTAAATTACTGAAAAACTGATTTTTTTCATTAATTTTTGAACTTAATACATGAGACACTGAGTCAGTTTGCCCCCAAAACCCCGACTACCCCGACTACCCCGACTACCCAGGTAAAACCCTTGGATATGGGTTTTCAATATCAAAACCCCGGGGTTTTACTTACCCTGGTGGCCGAAGTAATTACACAAATCAATATTCTTTTAAATATCTAGTTTCACCCTGAAAAAATTGGACTCACCTGCTTATCTTTGATTAGCCAATCATTTTTGCCCAATACTTTCTCCTGGTTGATAATATCGTACGGTGCTCCTAAGATCCTGAGCGCCTCATAACCCGTACCCTTTGTTGGTGCGGGAACAACTTGCTTACAAATTTTGGGAGTTTGCAGACTTGTCATTTTGCGGAGAAGTGAAAGCATGGCGGGCCCGTCGGCAAGGGCGTGGTGAAACCGGAACAAAACGGCAGAAGTGTTTGGTCCATCCATAATCCTCTTAATCACAACGAGCTCCCATAACGGCGCATTTTTCCGGTAGGGTAGAAATGTTAGTTGGGCCTGGAATTTGTGCAGTTCTTCGAGGCTTAATTCTGTTAATTAAATAGTTAAAAATTAGTCCACATTGTTTTTATATGATTGCCCCAGAATTGTGGAAACTCCCGGGAATTTTGACAGAAATGTTTGCCGGGTATCCTACAACCTGGCCGGGTATTGACGCATCCACTAAGATAATAACGGAAATTTGTCGGATTTTTGTTTAATTTTAAAAAAGTTTCAAAATTGAAAACAGTTAAAAAAGGTGTAGGATATTTTCCACATAAAATTGTACAAATCCATCTTAATATGTTCTTTGTAAAAAAATTAAACTAGCGGGATGGGAAAATTACTTTCTGAGAGGTTCTGAATTTCAAGTAAATACATTGAACCTTTGAATTACTCGACGGAGTAAAACGTATACTTGAAAATAGCCGGGTCCGGGCCGGGTACATATCTCCAAAAAGTCCGCGTAGATAATACGGGTAACAACCTGGCGCATCATTAATTTGTTATCATACATCAGCTCAACGTACCCTTTTCGTGGGTACGGATTCCACCATAGGGTAATTCACTCTCAGTCCAGAAAGGATATCCCAACCAGTGCGTTATAGTTCTCCGCAATTCGGGATACATCAACTGTCCCGGATCTTTTTCACATCGGGCTTCCAAAATATTTTTCCGCAACATTTCCCAGATAAGGTCCGAATTTGTAATCCCTTCGAGCACCATGCAACCCACGACCGTGTTCCTTGGACAGATGTACATCTCATCCGCCGCGAACATTCCGTCCAGCGGGGCAAGCATGGAAATCAAGTCGGGTCTAAACTGAAATTGTTTTCACAATTTAAAAAAAGTTCTAATTTTTTAACAAAGTTCTAATTTTTTATGCAAATTTCTCTTACCATGAATGCCAACAATTTTACCGCACTTCTGACCAGGTAAATCGGAACAAATGCCAAAAGCTGGAAGGGAGCGAAAAGCCATAACGGCAGATGGAGAACTACCATGAAGAAATGTAGTATTTTACTCATTGTTGAGGATCCTGAGCGGGTGTGATGTTTTGAAGGTGTTAGTCGTTGCTTAAAGATGTTGCCAATTGACCGTGGATTTTAATACGTATTTCACAAGAACTGTGTTGTGTCCAGATAGCGAGAAACTGACCACTGTAAGTAACTTGGAAACAAATCGTAACCGCTGAAGTCCTCAATTTTTTGGTAAATAAATACGGAGATATTTTATCACCACCGGGAAATAAGTAATGTGCCAAACGACATCGTTACTTTAAGAAAATCAATGCTTAAATAACCCCTCATATTTATATTTGTTGTGATAAATTTGTTCAATCTTTTAAAATAACGACGTCACGTGTGTTTGGTAAATACACAAGGTTTTGACTTTTCTTTTTGTCTCGGTACTCATAACAAAAAAAATGGAGCACTGTAATATATTACCTCCGGGGGTTACGATTTGTCTCAACATTATCTATTTAGAGTGAACGTCCTTCACTGAAAGACCTACATATGTAGAAAAGCCTGTGGGGAACTCGAGACTGGGTTATGACTGAATTATGTGGATGTAAAGAAATCATGAAACTTCGGTATACATATGTCACCTAATAATCGAAATGTATTGTATTGTCAGTTAAGGATACAAGCTACTTTTACAGAATGATATAAAAGTTCTAATGAGGCAAGTTGAGAATATGTGTGGGACTGAGAAACGGAGTGGTCGGAAGAAAGTTCAAACCCGATTGGCAACAAGGCATGGAAGGGACCCATATTTATAAAATTTGCAGAGCAAGGTGACCCAGCAGAATGAAATTTATAAATAGTTTATGTATGTACGAAATTCGACGAAAAATACAAACTGTTCACGATATCAAGTGTGGGATGAGAATACCTAAAATTGAGTTTAACAAAAATTTAGGGATACACTCTTAAAAATGATCAAACCATTTTGAAAAGTAGATGCACTCCAAATCCAATACGATCGAAACTATTTATACAGGGTGTTTAAAATGCCAATGTGGCTACAATGTAAAATTTTTCGATGAGAAAAATTCGTAACTTTCCATTAGTTCCCGAAATTTTGTCTGTAAAATTCAACATTTTAAGAATTTCGTCATCAATGTCCCATCAGGTAATAATTGTAAAAATCTCAACAAAAGATTTTGTAATTAATGGAGATTTAGGGATTTTTCCTATTGACAAATTTTCCATTGTAGCGTGACATTTTAGCCACCCTGTACATAATCCAGAGCAAACTTTATGTACTCTTTATCAAGTTAACGTTACCCAGGATTTTGTATAGTTTACTAAAGATCGAATCCAGAGTGTATTAACTGTTCAAAATGGTAACATTATTTTTAAGAGTGTACCTATCACTAGTGAAATGTACCCCAACGGAGTACCTTGTCTTAGTCTCGAGACGACTTTTTATACATTCAAAACAGAACAATAACAGTAAATTATGTATGAAACTAAACTTATGTACACGATTTGGTCCAGGTACTTATTTGAATAATGATTCGTAAGTCGTATCGACAAAATTGAATGCCAGGGATGGGCAAACCTAAGAGTTTGGACGGATTATAGAAAAATTGTTTAAAAGTATTCTTTGGATTGCTAAGGTGGAGTATATTACATTTGAGATTAATTTGATAGCCTGGTTTGTTAGATTACAGCTTAAAAGGTTTCGGCTTACTAAAAATTGTGGTTTTTAGCAACTCGGCAGACATACATTTGACTAAAAATATGTCTACCGTTTGGCTAAAAAATTTAAATAGTCAGGCGCAAACTTATAAAAAATATAGTTTGACTACTTGTTTGTGGATTACTTAAAATTTGCATTTTCTGCTGGGATTACTGGATTTCGGATTACGAGTTATCCTAGTATTGCCCAACCCTGCTCGAAGCCCTAACCAAACCTGCCCAGCAAGATTAGCTCAGTCGCTCAATTTTTAGTAAGTGTACCTTTGTATAAAGCACTATTTACTTCATAACTGTCAATAAAGGATGTACCTGTACATCTTTATGTTGGAGATGATCTAGATTAAAACTGGATAATTAAATAATGCTTAAGTGATTTTTAAGCCAAATTATCTTTAAGCCATAGGGAAGCAATTGTGTATAATAATATATGTATGTATATACCAAATGAACGTGTTTGTAAAAACGCATAAATTGACGCAAAGGGAGCGTCCATAAATCACGTGATCGATTTTTGGACAATTTTGACCCCCTCCCCCCCCTTGGTGACCGTTGGTGATAATTTCGCTACCCCTCCCCCCCCACCGGTCACGTGACAGGAGTTGATGGTGCTCAAATTAAATTATGTTGTCCGGAATAACAATATTATTCCAGTGTTGTTTAACTCATTAATCAAATTTGAGCTACACAAATGTATAAATAACCATTTAATACGCCATTCCGACATAAGAATTTTAAGTCGAAGCAAGTTTTTAAATATGCAAAATGAAAATCAAATTTATATAACGTGTGTGAGGTATGCCAAGAGAATTTATATATAACTCTCATGACATTTATTGGCATATACAAAACTTTACTCATGTCACGTGACATCTGACCACTTACCCCCCCCCCCCCTCGTGATAATTGGTGACAAATTTCAGACCCCCTCCCCCCCTCTAATCGATCACGTGATTTATGGACGCTCCCTTAAAGTAGACACATAAAATTAAGGTAGTTCATCATCGAAACCAGTTTTGACTAATAGATTACAAACATGTCGTTCTAGGGTGGTTTTATGTATTGACAGTTTGACCATGCTTACAACGCACATGGCCGAGACACATATTTCTCACCGATTTTCTTCAAACCAGGAATAAGGGTGAATCAATATCTAATAGTTAGTGAGCCACTGGAGAACTTTTCAGAATGGCGATGGTTTTACATAAGCCGGCACAACTGGGAATTTTCACCATGGGAAATTATGTAAATATGTATGTACAGCTTTAATACTTTTGCATAGTGAAAGTTCGCGTTTTTGCCAAGTTAAGCCCATTAAATTCTGCACAAGTGCTTGTGTTAAGTTACTTAATTTTTTACTGGTGGTTTTAAGAAGATTGATGACAAACTTGTCTGACCTGTGCATTTATGAAGAGTTTTTACATCAAATTATTCAGCTTTAGGTACTTATAATGTACCAAGTGAACCTCGCGTGCATAATTTAGTCTGCTCGAAGTATGTATGGATTTAGATGAGTAAGATTAAAGGTAGTCGATTGAAACCAGTTTTTAGTAGCAGTGATACAACCACCTCGTTGTAGATCAGTTTTTCTCTACCTTACTCACAATGCGACGGTGTGAGGTGGTTATCGCCGATATCCACCGGACTAATTTTAAATTGTTCACATTCAAAAATAAGTGGACCCGTATTTTTTAGTTTTCCTGAATGGACATGTTTACGCCCTTGGCGGAATTTTCAAAACAAATTTCAGCCAAAATTTGGATTTTTAAAAACGCTGTAACTTTTCGAATTTTAATCCGATTTCAAAAAATAAACCCAATTTGTGTTCATAATTACATCCCTGAAAATATAAAAAGTCATTTAAAAAAATTTCTGAATTTTTATAAACCCAAAAAACGATAATTTTTTGAAAATTAAAAGTTTTTTAAAAATAAATTTTTATATTTTCAGGGATGTAATTCTGAACAAAAAATGGGTTTATTTTTTGAAATCGGGTTGAAATTCGAAAAGTTACAGCGTTTTTAGAAATCCGAATTTTGGCGGAATTTTTTTTTGAAAATTCCGCCAAGGGCGTTAACATGCCCATTCAGGAAAACGAAAAAACACGGGTCCGATTATTTCTGGCCCGGAACAATTTAAAATTAGTCCGGTGGATATCGGCGATAACCACCTCGCACCTCCTCATTGTCAGTCATCCTATTGAATGGAAGCGCTAATAGGTATCGAAATGGGTGGTCACTTAATTTTTGGAAATTAAGGCGTCTTTTCACACACATTGTGCCGCATGATGACCTGGATAAGCAAAAATGTCTGACCACACCCCTTGACTTCAGGGGACATTGTTTTCTTCAAAACACTTAAAACAGCATAACTATTGAGCTAGTATAAATTTTTCAATTTTTTCCCCCATATTTATTAAGTAATAATTTTTTACTAGATTAACTGAGCAAAAGGCTGAGCTGAATCCGGATCTTTCAATTTGCCCAGTGTTGCACGTTCCCTACTTCCTTGGGGGACGTGCAACAGCAATAACGTCATCAGAAAACGCGGACCATTACACCACCCACCCACCCACCCCTCCCTTATCCTTTTAATATTACGTTTAACACGGGTAAAGTTGGGATCCAGAACCATTTACAAATATTTTTACATAATGACGTAACATATGGACGTTCACATGCAGATTTATATATATATCTCTACGTACCAATACATACCTGCCTATGTAGAAAATCAAAAGGCGCAGTGCGACTCGATAGGGGGGCTCTAAGACTATCGACCGTATATTTAAACATTTATCTCATAAGAACTTTGTTCTGTCCAGAAAACGGGTTGATACAAAGTGGTACACTCTAAATCCTTTGGAGACGAGTTTTTGACTTATTTCCCGTTGGTGACAAAACGTCTCCGTAATCGTTACCCAAAAATAGAGCAGTATAGTACCTCCGTGGGAGACGAGTTGTCTCAAAATTATTTACAGTGTTGCACATAGGTCTTTTTTTACTTTTTTTCTGCACACTTAGGTCTTTTCTGAATTAAACATCGACTGCACTTCGGTCTTTTATGAATCAGTACGAAGATAAGTAGTCCTTTATTTTGGGTTACGATTATGGAGGCGTTTTGTCGCCAATGGCAAATACAGTGTCGGACAGATCTCTACGTCCACATAGTCGCATCAATTTCATTTTCAAATTGTCACTGAACTACTGAACCAATTTTCATCATTGATATATCTAATTCTCACAAATTTAACGTAATTTCATAAAACATATGAGTTATTTCTGAAAATTCTGGGAAAACTGAGAATCATAGTGCAGAGCGAGAGAGGATGAAATTTGAGCGGACAAAAGTCTACGTCCACTTCACTTTAATTGTCAACAACAAAAATCTCTCCAATTTATAAAATCAGGTAACTTAATAAATCTATCAATAACATATGCCGCATTAATTTTTAAATAATTTTCTTCCAGAAAAATATGATGGCGTCGACACGCAAGGAAATTCCTATCGCTATTCGAGATCTTGTCATTCAGGACTGGAAGGGTGGACAAAAAGGGGGGCTGTCGCAGAGACAAATAGGGACCAAGTATAAATTAGCAAGGACAACCATCCAGACAATCATTAAGAACTTTAGAGCTAATGGTTCAGTCCAAAACAAGGTCAGAAGTGGTCGAAAACCGATTTTGGCTCACCGAGAAGTACGCCACGTGCTCAACAAAGTCAACGTTACACCCTCACTTAGTGCTCCAAAGCTATCTACCGAGATCAAGGAGATGTTCGACAAACAAGTTAGTCCTAGGGCCATCCAAAGAACACTGAACAAGGGAAATTTGAAATCCCACAGAGCAGTCCGGAAGCCTCTTATTGTACCGAGGAATGCAACCAAACGAGTGAAGTTTGCCAGAGACCACATTTCCAAGCCACAAACATTCTGGGACAGTATTTTATGGACTGACGAGTCAAAGTTCAATGTCTTTGGGTCAGATGGGCGTCGTAGAGTGTGGAGATATCCAAAAGAAGCATTGAATCCAAAAAATCTCAACCCCACAGTTAAGCACGGCGGCGGGTCGGTAATGGTGTGGGGATGCATGGCTTCAAGTGGGGCAGGAAAAATGGAATTTGTTGACGGAATTATGGACCAATACAAGTACCAGGGAATACTTGACCGTAATATCCAGGAATCTGTTCGAAAACTTGGACTTGGACGACGATTTGTCTTCCAACAAGACAACGATCCGAAACACTCTGCCAAGTCCACCATGGAATACTTCAAGAAAAAAAATTTCGAAGCTAGAATGGCCTCCCCAATCTCCAGACTTGAATCCCATTGAGCATCTGTGGGACACATTGAAAGAGAAATAAGAAAAAAATCTTTTTCAGGAATTCCGGGCCTAAAATCCAGAATTCGTGAAGTTTGGGAAACCATTTCTGAAGATGTGACCAAGAATTTGGTAAACTCTATGACTCGACGCCTTGAAGCCGTCCTTAAAGCGAACGGAGGCCCAACCAAATATTAAAAATTAATTGTTATAACATTCCTTATAAATTACAGTTTTTTTTGTATGTTTTCTCTGACTGGACGTTGATTTTTGTCCATCCAATTGTTTTCATTTTGAATTAAAATACATCTCTGGCCTAAAATAAATTTTTTAGCGGAAAACTAATAATGTGCTATGAAATTACGTTAAATTTGTGAGAATTTGATATATCAATGATGAAAATTGGTTCAGTAGTTCAGTGACAATTTGAAAATGAAATTGACGCGACTATGTGGACGTAGACATCTGTCCGACACTGTAAGCATTAAGAAGAACTCGTGTACCAAACACACGTGGCGTCGCTATAAAAATAATTAACAAAAATCGTATATTGATAAAAATGTGAATTCTTTTAAATAAGTTTTTGACTTATTTTTCTAATCTGTAATCATTACCCAAAAACAGAGCACTATAAATATTTAGTACCTCCGCGGGTGACGGGTTGCCTCAAAATTATTCAGAATAAACGAACTAATAAAAGCGACCCTATGGTTGTACATTGATCGCTTAATAATTTATCGTGTTGTATTTATCATCCGTTAAGGGTGCAAGTTATTTATATGAGTGCAAATGAGGCAAATTGAGAATATTAATGGGACTGACGAAGGGAGTGGTCACAAGAAAGTACAAACCCGATTGGCAACAAGGCATGGAAGGGACTCATATTTATAAACTTTTCCCAGCAAGGTGATCCAGCCGGATGAAAAGTATTAATAGTTTACTCGTGAAAAACACAAAAACATGTTGACGAGAACAATTGTGGGACGAGATTACTTAGAATATAGTTTAACAAAAATTTGGCGGCGCACTCTTAAAAATAATGTTACATTTCAAAAAGTAAATGCAGTCTGAATTTTATATCTGTGTACCCCACCATGGA